CAAATGATAAAATGAACAAATAGGTGTGAACTATGTTTTTTTTTGGGTTATAAATTGATCAAATAGGTTTGGAAAACTGATCAGACCTTTTATAAAATGATCAAATAGGTGAGGAAAACTGATGAAATCCCCTGGTGAACTAATGGAAAAACGGAAGAATACTGATCAACATGTACTACAGCATGGAGAAATAAGGTGTGAATACAGTTATATATATAAGGTTCTCCACCCACATAGACTGTGGAATTGAAATTTTTGCTTCCCGTGGCATCCCCAGAATTGAACTTGAAACAGGATACTTAGAATATTTTGTTGCTTTATATATATATATATGCATGTTCATGCATGTGAAACAACATATATGCCACTTATCACTGTCAATGTTAATTGCTATCAATTTAAAATAGGGGAGGAAAACAGAGCACATAGTATATAAATAGTATTAATTAAAATGTTATGCAATGCTATCAATTTAAAATAGGGGAGGAAAACATTGCAAATAGTATATAAAAACGTATTAAAATGTCACTGTCAATGTTAATTGCTATCAAGTTAAAATAGGGGAGGAAAACAGAGCAAATAGTATATAAATAGTATGAAAATGTTATGCAATGCTATCAATTTAAAATAGGGGAGAAAAAGCAGAGCAAATAGTATATAAAAAAGTATAAAGATGTCACTGTCAATGTTAATTGCTATCAATTTAAAATAGGGGAGGAAAACAGAGCAAATAGTATATAAATAGTATTAAAATGTTATGCAATGCTATCAATTTAAAATAGGGGAGGAAAACAGAGCAAATAGTATATAAATAGTATTAAAATGTTATGCAATGTTAATTGCTGTCAATTTAAAATAGGGGAGTAAAACAGAGCAAATAGTATATAAACAGTATTAAAATGTTACGCAATGCTACCCATTTAAAATAGGGGAGGAAAACAAAGCAAATAGTATTTAAAAAGTATTAAAATGTCACTGTCAATGTTAATTGCTGTCAATTTAAAATAGGGGAGGAAAACAGAGCAAATGGTATATAACAAAGTATTAAACTGTTATGCAATGTTACTTGCTGTCAATTTAAAATAGGGGAGTCAAACAGAGCAAATAGTATATAAATCGTATTAAAATGTTATGCAATGCTATCAATTTAAATTAGGGGAGGAAAACAGAGCAAATGGTATATAAAAATGTATTAAAATGTAACTGTCTATCAGTGTAAAATAGGGGAGAAAAACGGGGAGGAGATAGTATATAAAAAAGTAGTAAAAATGTCACTTTTTATATCAATTGTTATCAATTTAAAATAGGGGAGGAAAACAGAGCAAATGGTATATAACAATGTATTAAAATGTAACTGTCTATCAGTTTAAAATAGGGGAGAAAAACGGGGAGGAGATAGTATGTAAAAAAGTAGTAGAAATGTCACGTTCTATATCAATTGCTATCAATTTAAAATAGAGGAGGAAAACAAAGCAAACGGTATGTAAAAAAGGTATTAAAATGTTATGAAATCATCTCAAAACGTTTCTATCTGTCATTTTTTCGATTTAGGGGTCCGACGGGGAGAATAAATTCAAAAAAAAATCATCTTAATTTTTGGGATTGAAAAGTGAGTTCAACATATGTATATATATATATATACGCGAAATGCCTTTTGAGTTCCCCGTCGGACGAGCTGCGATGAAAATGTCAAGATTATATATATATATATATACATGGTTTTGTGATGTTTTTGATCCCCGTTTTTTAACATTTTGTTCTATCTGTTGTTTTTTAGGCATAAAAAGGTGACGAAAACGTATAATATATACGTAAAGTTGAGTTTTTTTTCACCTATCATTTCTATCTGCTAGATCGCACTCGGCGTTCTATGTGTCATTTTTTCAACTTGTAGTGATTTTTGATTTTTCCATCTGCAAGTTCGTGACTATAATTAATAGATTAATTATTAATCTATAATTTTAATATAAGTTTAATTGAGATTGCAGTGGATGGTAAAAATAGATTAATAAAGTAATAGATAGTAATAGATAGTAATAGATAGTAATAGATAATAATAGATAGTAATAGATAGTAATAGATAGTAATAGATAGTAATAGATAGTAATAGATAGTAATAGATAGTAATAATTAATTAATAGACAGAAACAGATAGAAATAGATCAGATAGATCAGATAGATCAGATAGATCAGATAGATCAGATAGATCAGATAGATCAGATAGATCAGATAGATCAGATAGATCAGATAGATCAGATAGATCAGATAGATCAGATAGATCAGATAAATCAGATAGATCAGATAGATCAGATAGATCAGATAGATCAGATAGATCAGATAGATCAGATAGATCAGATAGATCAGATAAATCAGATAGATCAGATAGATCAGATAGATCAGATAGATCAGATAGATCAGATAGATCAGATAGATCAGATAGATCAGATAGATCAGATAGATCAGATAGACCAGATAGATCAGATAGATCAGATAGATCAGATAGATCAGATAGATCAGATAGATCAGATAGATCAGATAGATCAGATAGATCAGATAGATCAGATAGATCAGATAGATCAGATAGATCAGATAGAGCAGATAGATCAGATAGATCAGATAGATCAGATAGATCAGATAGATCAGATAGATCAGATAGATCAGATAGATCAGATAGATCAGATAGATCAGATAGATCAGATAGATCAGATAGATAGATAGATAGATAGATAGATAGATAGATAGATGAGACCAGATAAGAATAGATAGGAATAGATAAGACCAGATAAAAATAGATAAGAATAGAACAATAGATAAGATGAGATCAAATTGGGCAGGTAGATAGATAGATTAGATTAGATACATTTGATCATTGATTATTAGATTAGATAGTAACATACTTACTTCCCCATTAACAAGAAACTATTTCCTGGTGCCAAATTTCTGCTGATTTCTGACTGGGGTAACTAATTTTAATATCAGAAGACTTGTTGCCCATTGGATGAGGCGTTGTGAATTTAACTGCTGTTTGGGAACAGTTGCATGCAAACAAGCAGTTAAACACAATGGTTGGAGTGTCTTATCTACTTATCTAATCTATCATTTAATACATATATATATATCTCTCTCTCTACCTATCCACCTACCTACCCGGCTACCTATCTATGTATAGTGGTGCATGTAATTAGTTTAGAAAGGCCAGTGTTTAGATTGTGTACAGGCTCTGTATAGTACAGTTTTATATTTCCTCTCTTGCCTTATGCTCCGCTACCACTATGAAAGTTGCCCCCCCCCCACCCCACCCACCCAAGGCACCACAGTGCGTCAGTGGAAGTAACTCACAACGGGCCTCTGATACCAAGTTCGCCTCACACCCACCTGCTCACCTTCTTCTAGTCAGTTCTGACAGTCTGACATTTGACCGACTGACTGGCTGAATGTCCGGTCAGACTCAGACTGAGTTAAGATAGTATTAATCAATTATTATTTAATTAATTATTAATTTAGATAGATAGATAGAAAGATAGATAGATAGATAGATAGTTGATAGATAGATAGACTCTTAGATAGATAGATAGACAGATAGATAGATAGATAGATAAATAGATAGATGGATAGATAGACAGATAGATAGATAGATAGATAGACAGAGAGAGAGAGAGAGATAGATAGATAGACAGACAGATAGATAGATAGCTAGATAGATTCATAGAATTCATAGATAGATAAATAGTTAGATAAATCTTAGATAGATTAGGTTAGATACATTAGACAATAGGTTAGATTAGATAAGTAGATTAGATACTAAGACACAAGCAATGGGGCGTTGTGAATATTTAACTTGGGAACATGAAGTTAAACACAATTCTTGGAGGCTCGATTCCTGCCAGGTCCGGCTGTCTTATCTACCTACCTATTCTATTGAATCTATCTACTCTATATATATATCTATGTAAGAATCTACCTACCTATCTGGTTACCTATCATGTCTAATCAATCAGATCAATCTGATCCATCAAATCAATCTAATCCATCTAATCAATCTAATCAATCCAATCAATCAATCAAATCAATCAATTAATCAACCAATCACTCAATCAGTCAATCAACAATCAATCAATCAATCAACCAATCACTCAATCAATCAATCAATCAACCAATCACTCAATCAATCAATCAACAATCAATCAATCAATCCATCCATCCATCCATCAATCAATCCATCAATCAATCAATCAATCAATCAATCAATCTCTTTATCAAATCAATCCATCAATCAATGAATCTTTCACTCTTTCAATCCTATTATCTGTCTTTCTGTCTTCATTCATGACATCAATCAATCAATCAATGAATCAACCAATCTTTCAATCCTATTATCTATCTTTCTGTCTTATTAATCTATGTCTATCTATCTATCTATCTATCTGTCTATCTATCTATCACCATCCATCCATGCATCCATCCATCCATCTAATTAATCTATCTACCTACCTATCCATCTATTTCATGTATCATCTCATGTCTATCATCTGATTGTATATAATAATATATATATATAATTATCAATAGGTAAATAAATAGTATTAAGCTTACTTATAATTAAAAAAATAGAATCAGATATAGAACAATTTTGTTATCTAAATTAATTAACTATAAATTATTGATTATGTACATACTTTGAATTTAAGTAAAATATGTTGTAAACAGTGATTTCCCAGACTTCCAAACCACCAACCCAAACCACCACGTAAGCGTAAGCTGATACATTACATTACATGTGTTGCGTTGCGCTGCGCTGCGCTGCGTTGCGTTGCGTTGCGTTGCGTCACATCACATTACATTACATTACATCACATTACATCACATCACACACACACATATATATAATTATATAATGGATCCATGGTATTATTGCACAAATGCCAGCACAACATATCATAAATCCATATAATATCATATAATCCCACATCAAAGGGCAGCACAAGCTGCTGCCTAGCGTCTTTGCTTGGCGATCCATAAACGACAGCATGGAGGAGGCGCTGGACAAACACGCTGGCATGTACCCTGCGATGGTGACGTTTGGCATCAGCAGCAGTGCCATGGCAAACTTATGACCAACATATCACATGTATTCAGATGTAATATGAATTCATATAATGCAATCAAATGATACATCCAATGCAAGGATGCTCGATAGAAATTTATATAACATATGAACACACATGGCAAGATGAGGCCTTTCAGTGCCTTTCAGCTACTTTCTCTTTGAAACCAAGAAACGGATTTCCGGTAGGCCTCAGCATGCTGCATCGGGTTTTGGTTTTCCACAAGTTTCAAATGACAGCCCAACTCACAGTGAATCAGTATGAATCAATGCAGTTGAGGTGCGGCGACCTTCCTTGACACAGTCCATGATCCAACTTGAGGTCACCACATTGACCCGCTTGGTTCGTTTTTTCAACTGAGCCCATTGTTGGTTTCCAGCTGCCAGGTTGTCTGCAATGACGTGGGTCACATGGGTGAAGCCATATTGCTCGTAGACTCCTTGGGCTGCCAGCAAACATGATGATAGATCCCTTCCCATCAAGAATGAGTCAATCATGGCCAAACAATCTTGTTCAGGGATGGACACTCTGAAAAATGATGCCACTGCAGAAACCTCACACCCAAAACCATCACTGAGGTTGGTGAGAGCCACCTGCCTACCTGGACCCCGACCCAACATACTCCAGCCACGACTCCACCATGTTCCACGATGAGACGCTTCAATTCCTGGTCCGGCAAACAGGTGCGGCCGGTCATCCAGAAACTGAGCCCGGTAAAAATGGCGGTCTTCGTCTCGCCTGCGCACCCGTGGATCAAGGCCGAATGGAAAATGGGGAGTTCCCGAGCTCCCCCCCGCCACAAAAAACACATGGCTACGAGCCGTGAACAAGGTTTTTCTTAGATGTTCTTAGCCCGTGTTGAATATTCGTATTCATGAATATCGGAAGGTGTAAATTCTGCAAATCCATGGTTCATACAAGTTGAACCCCTGGGACTTCGAGACATGTCCGACTCGACTCGGTGACGCTCGGTGCCTGTGCTTCCAGCACGAGCCGCTGCAGCGAACTGTTCTTTGAGCTTCCGATTCTTCTCCACCATGTAATCCTTCAGCTGGGATAAAGAATGAACCATGCGGCACCAAGTGGTTTTCTCTTGGGCCACAGCTCTTATACTTAGGGGAGCTCATAATGAATGCCTCTGAAACGTGGATAAAAGTGCATGATTTGGTCCAGTATGCTTTTCAGTAGGAAAAATGGTTGGGAGCCTTATTGACCTGTGTACTAGAAGCTGATGAAGTTGAAACTAGGATGCTGCCAAAAGTCTCCGAACGAGGCCTCAGTAGTCAAGCGCTCTGATGCTGGCCCTTCAATGTTGGAAGCACCCACAGCCACAGACACGCATGTGTAGATATTAAACAAGTAAAAATAATTAAGCACATTAAACAACTAAACTGTGTACTTCATGCAGAAGGGACAAATTTGTCGACCTATTTCTACTTGCACGTACTTTCCAATGGCAATCTCTAGGATTTGCTAGGCACATGTCGTCATTCCGCAGGAGGATCCCAACAGGAATCCAACAGGTCCGAAGCACATAACCGCCACCGCCGAAGAAATTTCCTGAAGACTTTCCTTTCCCATCACTTCCACCTTTGCCTGGAAAAGTCACAAGTTTGGGAAATGGAACACAAAAGTTTAAATCTCGACTTGGTGCGAAATGTTACTCCCTGCGGAGGGAAAAGAAACTCAATTCTTTTTGGATAAAGTTGATGCATCATGGTAAGTCCATCTAAGATCATCGAAGCCTAAAACACACACACAAAATGAAAATGGATGGCTAAGATGGCTATGATCCATCCGGTTGAGATGAGCTTATTTGGCTTCCATCAAAGACCCCAACTGTGGGATCCCACTTAGGGGATGGGGGTAGTCCAACTTCGAACTTCAGTATCCCGACCCCTGTTCGTATTGGTTGACCTCCATTATCTCACCACTACACATCACCACCAAGCAATCCAGCATATCTGTGGGCGGTATGGGGATGGGTTTAGATCATTTAAGATCTACAATAGCATTATTACAGTACTTGTCTTTTTGAAGAACATCTAGAAATATCTAGAAACACATTAATGATAATCACCTATTTGGGTGTGAAACCAGGTACCAGGATGTACCAGGGTTTTGATCCATATCCATAGCCATGTAGCGAACATGACCCGGCCATGGTTTTGTCCATCAGCATCAATGCCTCGGCCCTTTCTGGAGCTGCCCATACGCTGCAAAAAACTTGGCCGCTTTGAGCCGAAAACAACTGGGAACCAGCCCTCGAGCCACCATGAGCCACCAAAGGGACCAGGGCAACAAGACAAAATTATAGTGATAGATGGATATAGATGGTACCTTGAAGGATTTTCCACGGATTTTCGAAGCATTTTCCAACTTTCATCGATTTTGTTTGCCGCTTTCACTGATCTCATCCCCCAGGGATTCGTGTCGACTCTCCCGCAGTTAACGCCCCAAATTTTAGTCTCGTCATCCAAAAAGGGGGGATACCCCTAAATTTCAATGTTAATGGGAAAAATCATGGAAACACATGTCCTAAACATTCCTAAACCATGGGGTATTGGGGTCGCCTATTTCCATACAAACTCAATACATGCCACTGGTCCTCTGCAGAGATGACTCTCGCGGAACTTGATGCACAGGCTTCACACTTGCGACCTGCACTGCGTGGTGTCCTCCCGGGGAGGAAGTACTTGGGATCTAGGTCTGACATCGGGACGTCATGTGCTTCATGGACAATATATATATATGTATATATAAATATATAATTATATGTGTATATATATATTATATACTGGATTAAGATGGATTAAGCATATATAGCATATGAATCCTCCCATCCACAAGGGATCTTGGACATATAGCAGAAGAATGAGTCAATGAAAAGCTAAGAATTTGAATAGCATCCCCGGGGATGGATACGGCAATGCATTAAACATGATATTCTGTCATTGTGCACAACAAACAGCCCCCGCGGCTGGCAAAGGTGGATTGTACAACACCAAACGAATATGACAGTGTATGACAGCATGGTTGCAGCCAATAGCATGTATAGGGCATCGAATTCACCCCAAGCAACAATGAAATCCCTTCCTGCAATCATGACAAGCCACCCCAAGATTCTGAAACTAGGCTCACATGCACTACCTTCCATTACAGGGTTTTATTGGTTCAGTTATATCCATTATTCACGGCAAGGATTGATGCCACAATATGTTCACCAATCTTGACCGGCACCTTCCCGGGTGAAGTTGGGCTGCGATGTGGGTTCCACAGTGCCGCCCTGCCAAACCACGACGTGGATGATGCAAATGTGGTATACATCATCCTTGCTGGTAAATCAGAGACCAACATGGTTCCCAAACATGCTTCACAAGTCTGCAAATTTCCGTTGTGTGATTGAGGGTTCCATCTGGTGCGCCTTGCACAAAGAATTGCTTTCCATGATTGTGTAGCAATGCGCGTCTGCCAAATGGTTCAGAACATTCGGAATCATCATCAAATCATACGGACAAAAACACCAGCTTGGTCGATCTATACTTTTCATATCTTTTCATCATTGATTATCCGATAAATCCAGTTTACAGTGGTGGTGCCCCCCAAAGTCATTTCTTTTTCCTCCCAAATGTTTCGTTATGAAAAAAATCATCTGCTGCTGCCTCCAGGATCCTGGGACCTTTTGGGACCCCGACACACCGGCAGCAAGTCGTTGACACTTCCAGAACTCCAAAGCTTCCAAAAGCCACCTGACTCGGAACCTCGGCTGAAGGAAACCCAAATTTCTGGGGCATCTGGCTGATTCAAAAAGGGATGAAACTTGAATAAACTCACAAAAAATGATCCAAAATTAGGGAGTGCACCAACGAAAACTAAGATTCCACCAGCCAACGTTGGGATTTAACGGAGAAAGATGGATTTAGCAAATTGAAGACGGAGATGGAACGAATCTTGATGGGGACATCTTGGGGGTATCATTGGCATGTAGTCAAGCAACAGTACAATATTGGTTCATGGCTTGGATCTATTCGGAATCTTGGGGTGACCCACCTTACATTCTGAAGACCAGTCTTAAGAACTGTTTGCGAGAGCCTTATAGACCTTACTGTTGGAGGGATGAACTGGAAGAAGTTGAGGTTAAGCACCCAATTACCCTCTGGTAATTTAACGTAGCTATTGAAAATGGCCATTTACAGTGGATTTACCCATTAATAATGGTGATTTTCCATAGCTACGTTAGTTGACCAGAGGGTATCCGAAACTTCAGGGCGGGTGCTGGGTGCATCAGGGTGCCCAGATGTGCCCGGTGCCCAAAGCCTGAGGTGCTGACCACCGTCCGTGCACACGATGCACAGGCGCGCGGTGTCCTGAACCACCTGGGAACGCCGAAGCCGGGGCCAAGTCACTGGGGGTACTAAAATATCTAAAAGGGTACTGTGACAAAGCCAATTAAGTAGTATAAAATGATATAAACTGTATAAAATAAACCATCCCCAAATGTTAGTGGTTTATGGACCATTTATGGATGTCTACCCCAAAAACTGATGGCCCCAAACCAACCAGGCCTTTAAGCCGCTTGAGCTGAAGCTGCCGTGCGCCTTGCGACCATGGATGGGTCGATATGTTATGCAGCTGGTAAACATGGTGACATGGTTAGTTTTGGGATGTTTTGGCCGAGTTGGCCACAGCCAGCATAGCTGCATCAGCGATCATCAGCACCTCTGCCCAGCATTTTTTGCGGCTTGCAACTCATGGATACAATGATCTGCGCAACGCTTGAATTCCAAGAATGATCTCTTGCCAGGGTCCCGAAAAGGGTCCAGGGAACTGGAGCTGGGTCGTACAGCTTCGCCACTTCTCCGCAGAAACGGAATGAGATTGACTGATTTTGGAAAGTCCGGAGTATCGAGATATATCGAGTGAAGAATCATTGGCTGGTTTTGCCAGTTCTGGCTACCTTCTTGGACTTCGGCTGCGGTTTCTGCTGCCCTTCTGATGCGTCCAGCAGTCTCCAATCTTGCACCACTTGCAATCACCAGAGCTTCCGCCGCCTTTCAGCCAGCGAAATCATTCAACTCATGCAAATTTCAAGATAATTAAACACCTACCCAAAAGGATGATCTCTTTTTTTTAACTTTCCAGTAGAGTGACCAAGATTTCTTTTTCGCACCTGTCTATTGTAGGTCCAACGGCAAGCATTTTCACCAAATCATGCCAAATCTAAACGGGTCGAGATGTCCTACCACGCCACGAATTCTACAATCGTGTCTACTCACTACTAGCCCCAACTTTCAGGTTTACAAAAACATCAACTGGCAAAACAAATGTCGTTCTGATTGATCTTTGGACAATTCCATTGACTCTCAAAATCAATCTCTAACAAAAACACCAAATGGCAGTGGCTTTTCCACATTTGACTTACGAACCTTCCCCACTGTTCCGCTGCAAATCCCCATGCCTTTGCGGTGTCCGCCGTGTCCGCCGCCACCGTAGCGCGAGCGGTAGCCCCCCCCGCGCCGCGAGAGGCTTCGCAGCTCATCGCTGACGTATTGGTTGGTGCTTTCCATCACCTGCGACTGTGAAATCCCACATTTTTGAGTAAACAAAGGGTGAGACATCAGAGACATCCATTGAAATCCTACATTTTGTGTTGAATTATATAATGGCTAAATCAACACCCAACATGTAAAAGAACCAATTTTAACATAGCTTAAATCAAAATAGCTGTTGAAATCCCTAATTTTTTGCATAACCTTGGGATGTAAAATGATGTAAAGTCCCCAGCAACAGGGCTGCTTTTGATTGTGTTCCAATATGTTCCAATCTTTCCAGTTGCATCAGTTGCCTGAATGATCCCGGAGATCTTTCCACCATCTTCGGAGGGGCACAGGAAGGTCACCGCATAGCCTTTGGCGCCCGCTCGACCCGTTCGACCAATGCGGTGGACGTAGTCCTCCGTGTTGTTGGCCTCAGGCGGTCGTTGTTGGGATCTGAAATGGCAGAATGACCTGGTATGACATATATTAAGCATTTATGAAGCCATTATAAAATATTATAAACTATTAACATCTGTTAACTATATTTAACATATTCAATATTAAACTGGTATTCAATATTAACTCTTGAACTGTGAACTTGAAGTTTCCGGACTTCCATGTCGGAACCTCGACAACCAAGTGCCCTTTTTGTGCCAAGTGAGGTCTGGTAGCAGAGGCGGAACCCCGCAGCCAAGATGCAGCATCATAATTCACCACCAGACCTTGGGTACCGGCATATGCGGAATAGACAACCGAGGGCATTTAAGAGGACTAACCCCTCATAATCCCCATATGAGGCCTTGGAATCAGGATCTCTGATACCTCTGGGCTTTTCCATTCACTTTCCTGGTAGTTTCAAGCTGTCTCCAAGATATTCATCAACCAGGTTGAAACATAATCAGCCATAGTGGCAACCTCCAAGATCCATCAAGATCCATCACCCGAGTTTTTCCCTTGAACCTCAATTGGGATATACTTTTCCGGATATCAAATTCATTACTGGTTGGTGGTTTCAACCCCTCTGAAAAATATTAGTCAGTTGGGATGATTATCCCATATATGATGGAAAATAAAAAATGTTTGAAACCACCAACCAGATTAAAATTCTATGATTATTTCATTAGGTAATCACTCCTACTGCCATGTGGGGCCGAATTGCGACGTGAGGTCGAGGCACCTATGCCTTTAATGTCTAGCCCTCTGGCGGCCACGTCTGTTGCAACGAGGACCCGGATACGTCCTTGCTTCAAGCCATTCAGGGCGTGGTCTCTGGCTTTTTGGTCCTGACATCAGAAATCAATAGAACTACCATGAAATACCTCAAAATAGGGAAGTCAATAGGTATTTCTCATAGGGAAGTTGCCATATCCCATGGTACCTCTATTTCCAGTGATGAAATACACCTGAGATATGGCAACTTTCAGCACTAAAAAATGAGATTGCCATGATCAATCCAATGGATTCTTGGGAAATCCCCAGCAAATCCCCATCAAATCTCTTATCCAAAAACTCCGATTATTTACCAAAGTGGAAAACATCTGGAAACTAAGAGCTAACACAAATATATCAAATATATTCAAATATGACTTCAATCTTCAACATCAGCAAAAAACCAGCGCCTTTTTTTTTTAAATAGCGCGTCATGAATGTTGTGTCCTTGTCACCATGGATGGCGGCACAGGAAACACCTGAATGATGAAGTTGATTGGCCAAATCTTCACACATTCGTTTGGTGCTGGCAAATACCAAGGCTTTGCCCACTGCACCTGGAGGCGTTTTTCAGGCTTTCCATGGCTTTCCAACCATTGCAGTCACTGCATCATAATCACTGCATCATATCAGGGCATGGAGCCGACTTGAATCTAGAAATCCGAAAAAATGCCAATTCCAAATGCCAATTCTGTAGCGGATCAGTGGGAAAATTAGCATTACATTCATCATCATTAATCATACGTTGGACATCTGTTATGGCAGTTATGGCATTACATGCATCTGAACGGCAGATATGTCGAAACTCTCCCAGCTGCCTGGTGTCATCAAGCCTGCTTCGTGCAGCAGCTGCAGAATAGCCGCTTTCTTGCCATGGGACTCAACGATACGCACTTGTTGCGTCACGTCCTCCGAAGCTTCAAAGGAATCATGGGTGGTTTTAACGTACTAAAAGCCTGAGTTGATCTTTCTAGTCGGGTTGGACAATACCACGCATCTGAAACCACTTTCAATTTCGTATTACAGTTTTATCATTATCATTGGCCTTCTTGTTGTTCATCCTTGGCTTTGCACAGCCAAATTGCAGTGCCGCAAATGAAGCAAATTGCCCTCTGAGTCTCCAGCATGGAAGTGGGATGAGCACGAAAAAACATTTTTAATAGGAAAATAACATATTTGATATTTTTTGAATAGACATGTATTCAATACATAAACACCACCCCCCGAAAAATATGGACAAGGGTATATACACGTGGTGGATGTTCCACTTTCAGCTTTGAAGCCAAAGGACACACAATTCCCACAGCATCTCTACCTCTTTGGTCCTGATTGGCTTTCAACTCATCCCGGTTTCCGATCATGACCCGTGCCGGCTGATAGAGAATGGTACTCGCCAACTGCCGGACCTCTTCGACTCAAGCGGGCTCAAGTGGCGACGTCAAAGTCACAGCAGTTTCAATATGTTTCAATGCCAAATCTCCTTTTGCCATTCTTTTTTGGCTTGCAAGATGTTGAAAGCATGGTATGATTCAGAATTTCCTTAGTTTCCATGGAGCGCGTCTCACGCGTCTCAAGAAGCATTGCACAACATGCCGCCACCGAACCCTCCATCTCCGTGAAAAATTCCCCGGCCTCCCTGGGCCATGTGGCGGTGAAGAACATGGTGTGCCGACTTCTTGGAACATGCTGCAGGATCTTTTGGATCTGCGGTTCAAAGCCCATGTCCAGCATTCGATCAGCTTCATCCAGTACCTTTCGAACACAACCCAATGTGTTTTTTCTGCGCCAAGAATGGTGATGAATGGTGGCTTGGGATGGGGAGAGCTTCCTAATCCCATGGCATTCCCATGGTGATAGTTGAGAATGATCACTTTATTTCAAAAAATCCATTGAAGGCTAAGGGAATCTCGGGATGCTTGATCCAACGCTTTTCCTCAATATTTCCACCAAGTTCCAGGGATCAAACTTATGACTTGTACCGGGGCCTGGCTCAGATTTGGGCCTATGGATCTTTAAAGAAGAAACATCGCCAAGTAATGCATAGTTGAACTTGCAAGACAAGTTGCTAATTTGCGTACTCGGTTGACCTTGGTAAAAGCAAAAGGTGGTGGAATGATTGGCAAAATTGACCAAACACAAGGTTTGCTGCCGGCTCTTAACATGCTTCAACATGCTTCAACTCTATATTGATGAAGTGATATGGAATGAGTGATGCAATCATCCACACTTTGGAGTCTGGTTGGTGTTCAAATCTAGGGTTATACATGGATATACCATGCAAAGAAAAGACAACTTGCAGATCATCATCTCAAGTATGCTGACAATAAGACCTCGTTGAAACCTCCAATATATCCAACATTCACCATCAGAAAGGGGGCGTCTTAAGATGCGTACTAAGAGACCTGAACTTGCCGGCCGTCCAGGAGGTCGTTCAGCCGACCAGGGCAAGCAATGATGCTGTGAACGCCCTGGCGATATTTGTTGACCTGTTCCCACTTGGGTGCACCTCCATACATTGAGACCTTGGGCATCGAGATGGCGCGAGATGGCACGAGGTAAAGCAGGGGGAAAAAATGGGGCATGAAGCATCACCGAGGGGCCAAAGAAGCCAAACAAGCCAAACAAGCTCAGTGACCCATGTGACACATGTGACACATGGATCCCTTTTAAATCCTTTTAATATCTTTCAATGTTTTGATTGTTTTGTGTACGGGGATTTGAGTCATTCTACAAATGACGTGACGACAGTGACTACAGCCGCAACCCCTGAATCTGCACTCCTTGGTGTCGTTGCTCATCTGCAAAACGAGGGGCATTGAACATGCCCAAGCATTTGCCAAAGCGATTTGCTTCCACCTCGAGACCCACGGCCAACCAGCTTTGACCCTCAAATCTACAGCCCTTTGTTTCGCATTTTTTGTCATGTCTCAAAGCTGCAAGTTCCATGTCGTAGGTCTGAGTAAACTAAATGACAACGCTTCACAATGCATTTGTAGAAAAGTCGACCGCCGTTGAAGAGCTCAAAATCATTGAATGATCATTTTTGGTGTATTTTTGAGGGAAAATGGATGAGAAACCATGAGAAACCACCGAAGTTGGCACCACGCCAGTTCGACTCCCTCCCATCCCTGGCACCTCGATCTGCTGGGCCAACTCGCGTGTGGGTGACATCACCAGCAGGCCGACGCCGTCTCTTTGAGGCTGATGCCCTGGGAGGATCCAGTGGATCTTCCAGTGGATCTTATGCGGGGAACCACGCGCAAGATATATATATATATAAGAAGTATATGTTTGCAGTAATCATATACACATGATCCACATTTTCCCATATTTTCCAGTGAAATATGGGATTTAAGGAATATTTAAGGAATAAACTAACTATGAGAAGAGCAGGAAAAATCTACAACCCATGGTTTTTTTTCATCTTTTTTCATGGTTTTTCCATGACACATGGGGGTTGGAGAAGGGATATCCTTAATGATGACCACACGGCCACAGGGATCCACCTGGCTGGTCGCGCAACGTATAAGGCTCTACCCAGGCTGGTGTATGAAACAGTTCTACCCAGGCTGCAAGCTGAGGAGCACAGAAGGGATCAATCTGGGGATATAGCATGGATATGCATTGATATCATGGGTTAACATGGTGCATACATGGTGCAATCAACCAGAATGTTGTTTTGAACTCCCTGCCCTGCCTGCGTGATAAAATTCACCTGGGCGCGATTCGATTGATTGGGTCAAAAACCTGGATGGGTTTTTAAGCAGGGTGAGCAATACAATGACAGCAGCTAGTTGGAATCCAATGGAATCCACTGGTATTGTAGGTATTTTCACCTCATTAACTTGGATCGGGTTCCATGGCAGGAAAAGTCTGCCAAGAAGCTGAAAGCTGGCAACAGAAACGCCAAAGTTTTGCCACTCCCTGTAGCGGCAATGCCAATCACATCCTGCATTGCTGGAGAGGACATGAGAGGACAGTGGACAACCAGAAAAAGGACACTTCACTTCGAACCTGGACTTGAATATGGGGGTGGAAAATAGCAGCTTCATTGATTTTGTTCCGGCCCTGAGATTTCAGGGGTGTGTAAATGGTCCTTCCCCTGCATTGCCAGCGGCCATGTAAAGGCTTGGATCTGCGAGGGTGACGGGAACGATTGCTTCAAGTCCGCGATAAGCTTGGGAGGAAATTGAACCTCAGGTGACGTCTTTTCAACACGGGGATGCCAGGCAATCCCAGGCAATCCCAGCCTATCGGGGGTCCACACATGTAACTTGCTTTTTTCCAAGTGCAATGCAAGTTGGGACTGCTTCAAAACGCCAACATTGGCTAACATTCCTGGTTTGATTTCATCGAAACTTTGGCGTTTCTGTGATGAAATTCCATATATTACGGGATCAAAGCCGAGGCGTTTCGTTTGAGCTTGGCTCTGCGTTGGATGCCGGCAGTGCAGTCCAGGGACACATTGATCGAAGGCATACACTTTGTGGAGCGGCAATGGGCCTAAGCAACCAATGGTAGTTTTCTGTGGATTTACATCCATCTATATAACTGTATCTACCTATCTATCTACATATTTATGTACCTATCACCAAACTGTCTAGCTTTCCTACCTACCTATCTGTAGTGCCAACCTCTAATCTCAATCTCAATCTCTCTCTCTCTCTCTCTTCTTTACATTTCTTTACCACATATTACGTCGAATCTTCGAGGGGCCATACATGGGTCATACCGTCGGGCTACTGTGCACTGCATCATGCTTCCTGCCAGAAACTACCCTGCAGTCACCCATGAGCAATCAGCCATCAACCTTCAGTTCAAATCAAGCACCAAAAGTGCACTGCACACTGCGGGGAACAATCCGTATCACAGTGTATCACAGTGTGTTCCATTGCAACGCAATGGCTTGAGAGCACAACTACATGGCACAACCTGTTGTATCCAATACACCTCATCACACGACCGATTGATACCGATTGCACAGAATGATCTATTGGATTATACTGTATGCCCAGGATGGCTTGACGCCATGCGCAAGTTACTGGTACGATCACCGCCACCCTGTGACCCTATGGATATCCACTGACCTGGCTCGTAAATCCAGCAGAACTTTTTGGGATGTGTCAAAAGCTCAAAACCCAAAACGATCAAGAAGGAACATGGGAAAATCTCCCAGCATGTCGCCAATTCGACTCTTTCTTGGAATGTTCACCAGGGTGTCAGAGTGACCACCACCCTTATTCGGCCAAGCTTCTCTCATTGAAGTCTATCACTCGCACATCGTTGTCCTACGTGGCCCAGTACGCAATTGGGAGGTTCTGATAGCCTTGTCTTGCCATAGACTTATCTGGTTCTACTCATTGAAACAGTGGCCACAACCTCCGAGGGAAATCCGACTCATGATGGTATTTCATGGTATTCGTGTGGGAAAAAAAAATATATAAACAAGTTCAAATGGCACTTTATATTACCCGGGAAAAACAACCATAGGGTGGGAACATTTCGTCATTCACTTGGGGTTTCCCCAACAAATGCCAAAACATATCAAAAAAAATCATCACATTTCAACAAATATCAACAAATATGGTTTCATCATGTTTCACCAACAAGAAAACATCAATCCCCATGCTCCTGCACAGTTTCTCCGACGGTGCCACTAGCTGCAGCCGCGCAAGCTTCGGCGATTGTCAGAGTTCGACCTGAGCTTGGCATCCAGCGGCTTACATCTGCAGAAATATCTGGGACTGCCAAACATCACGTGGAAAGTGGAAACCATTTTCACAAACACACCCACCATCACCCACCATCACCCAGCCACATATTCTGGAAAACATTCATTTTGTTTTTCGAAAATTTGTTCCAAAACTAAACCCTGGGATTGTCATCCCAGAAACCGCCGGGTGCAGGTGTAGGTGCAGGCACCGGATACGCCTGATACGCTGGCTGGCCTGGCCTTGGTGCCCCAAAGTGGGTGATTTTTTGAGGATAAAAACATATAAAAAACCTGGGTGGGATGAGCGATGGTGGCACATTTTTATTTGGAATTTCCACCATCTTAACATTCGGAAGTGGCATTGAAATGGCTAAATTTGGAATCGGCATTGAAAACATTGAACAATGGGATCACAAAGATTCAAAATTGAATCTGGGCCTATTGTTGGGGAACCTTGTGGCAACCAAGAACTTTTTGAGCATTTGAAACAACTGACCTTTGCGCAACTACCCATCTTGTGTGTTCACGCCCCTGCACTTGCAGTGCCTGTGCATTGTTGCAAATATTCAAAGACCACGCTGTCCTGTATTTGCATATGTGTGCAGCGCGCACACGCACACACATATACACACACACACACTAGACAAAATAATTCTTGAAGAGATCCATCAGGAACTGAGTCCTTTAACGTGCAACAAGTCTAGATAATTAGACCTAAAGTAGATCTCATGGTTGTACTTCGTGAATATAATGACGGTCTTCCGAAAATGTCCAATGTAGCCCAAACCAGACTCCAAAATTGAAACCGGCAAATAAATCGTCATCCAAAATAGATTGCGGCAACAGTGCAGTGAAAATGTAAAAACAACATGGAGGTTCTTGGGTTGAGCCTCTTCCCATCACCGAGAAAGTATATGCAGGTACGTCGATGAGCGTCCCCATCGATATCACAGGCAACTGATGAGTGTCTTTGTTAGTGCCGGTCTCATCAGTGCCTCCGGCACCCCCTGCTGAAAACTGCTGGAACCCTGAAGTTTTACATCTGTACAGATGTGCCACACACACACACACCCTGCCGCGGCAGGGTTTATTTTCTGGAAGAAGCGACAACTGCTAGGCTATGATACAGAAATCCGTGTGACCATCGTTCGGTCCGCTTCAGTCAACATCCCAGAGCTCCTCAGTACGTGACGTCGACAAGATGCACAGAGCTTTCGTAGAGGCATTCAGTTGGTCCGGGGTCAGGTTGTCCAAGATTTCGCTGGTGACATCAAAGGGACCAGATCCCATTCCAGATACCGGAGGCGAGAAAAGTCGATCATGTAGTTCGGTTGCAAGGGCGGCGGTGGTCGGCTGAGGCGTCTGTGTTCCATGTCAGGCGGATAGTAATCAGCGAACGGATTGCCTCCATGACGCATGGGTACACCAAAGAAGTAACGCCAGTAGTCCGCCGTGCGCTGGGACCAATCCCAGTCTCCAGTCATTGTGTAGAAGAAATGTTCTGGGTCTCTCGTGCGTGGGTAGCCCGTCGCCGGGATCTCCATGATCCAAAGTTCCTGAATGTTGTTGGAATAGGCAAAGGTCTTGAAGTAAATCTGATGTACCAATCTTTCATTGAATCGGCCATGTTGAGGAGGAGTGGGATGATGGCGTCCCGATGTCGGAAGTGGAGTCGGAGGCTGGGTTCCTGGAGTAGCTGAGTACATCCCCAATTTGGTCACGGGATTCTCAAGCGCCGAGGAGGAAGATGCAGAAGTGGTAGTAGCGGGTGTCTTCGCCGCCCCTTGGTGGCCTTTGGTCTCGGCTTCTGTTGCTGCTTCCCATAGATGAGCTATGGCTCCGGAGTGCTTGGCATGAAATTTCAGCACCATGTATGGGGCGTTGTCGTCCCCTCCTGAAAATTTGTGGGACAAGCCGGTGTCATAATCGAGGACAAGAATATTGAATTGCTGGGCCTTGGCAAAAGCATACACTTCCCAAAAAACAACCCCAAGCTCCAACTTCTTCTAAATTGTCTAGATATCTGTCGAAGGGCACTGTGGTTGGCACGTCATCAGGCATGCGGCATGCGCTGATCCCACTTTGGGATCAAATTGGCTTGTTGTTTCCGCATCCAGGAAGTCAAAGCGGCACGGATCTCCGATCTTTGCTTTCTGCATGGGATGTGGCTTTCCTTTCCTTCTCCCCAATTAAGAACCACCTGGCTCCAGTTGGCAAAGCAAATTGGATTGCACGTGCTTTCTTCTGGCTAGACGTGTCCGTGCTTTTGTGTGAGCGCTTGGCACCCCCTTGATCCACCGCCATGGTTTGGGCATTCTCCGGCTGATTTTCTGGTTCCTTCGTCAAATCCACTGTGAATTTGACAGCTGCCGTTTGCTGGGTTCTTTCTGGCACCCCACACGAAGGAAGTACCACGTTCTCTTCTGAGTGGCACTGGTGGCCTTGTGTTGTTTCTGTTTGAATTCTCTGGTGGCTGTCATGTAATGAGCGACTGTGTCTGTGTCTTCGCCCAATTGGATGGGCACTTTGTCTCGGCGATCATTGCGTTAGGCTCTGAAGATCCAAGCAGCTTTGCCGTCCAGCCTGGGAATTTTGGCAACAAGCTCCACGCCGGTGAAGCCGGTCTCCTGGAGGACTTGTTCAACATTTTCTTAACTGAATTTCCGCGGAGTTTCTTCCAGTTTCTATGTGCAAAGGATAGGCGTCATGCGTGCATCAGTTGCAGCCACACGGATGGCCACTTGCCTTTGCGCAACATGAGACCATTTCCATTTGCTTCTGTTCTGGCTTTCTATAAATATGCAAGTGCATCTTCTCTCGGTTCCAACGGGATCCAGAGATTGGAAAGTTTCTCTTCACCCAAACTTGGCCAATGGGCGGGTTCAATGAACCAGGGGGCTTCTCCAAATGAATCACCACTAAAAGAATTGATTTGCTTGGCGACATCCTTGGGCATTCTGACCCGGCCCCGGGTTGCAATTCCTATCCACACACGTCACGGATCTGTTTCAAGAGCTTCTGGTCTGTGCTTGCTAACCACTCTCGCAAAGCACGACCAGGGTTTTTTCTGCCAGCTTGTTTCCATGCGTCTGGACGAACAAATCTTTTCCCCAGGCTGGCGCGTAGTACAGCTGTGTCTGCTTGAGGTTCTTTCACTTCTGGTTCTTGGCGACAATAAATTTGCCATTTGGCTGCGCGGTCAAAGGCTTTTGTTGTCCCTCGGGTGCACGTTCGATAACATGGATCTGTTTCAGCTCCAACTGGGACTCTACAAAACCTGGCAAGATTTTGGACATGCTCCTCTGTTCTGCAAGGAAATCACGGTTGTCAGTTTCACTGTTTCCGGTGAAAATGAAGAGTAACATGAACCTTCGGCGAGCCTTTCATGAGGTCAAGCACCAGTTGATCCTGGCGGACGTGTGGCGGGAGTGTTGCCAGGTCGATGTATTGGTGTGGATTGATTATCAGGTTCGGTAGATCTCTGAAGTGCAGTTGGTGGTCCTGCACGACTCTTGGGGCCTGCATTTGGCGCAGTGAGACTGGTCTTGGGGTGCTCCTGTTGTGATTTCAATTGATCGGTAGTTTCTGAAAGGAATCCTTTTTCGGCTGCGTCTATCAAACCCTTAAGTTGACGTAGGAATGCTCTTTGGCTGCTGTTCAGCGCGCTGCACAACTTTTTTCAAGGCCTCAACCAAGGAATCCTTGGACTTTTGCTGCTTTTTGTTGCAGGGCCTGTTTGGCTTCCGAGACTCGTTTTGCCCAAAGTGACAGACTGCATTTTTCCAATAGCTTTTTTAGATTCTTTTAGGCCATCTGGAAGAACTTTTTCGGCTCTCTTTTTCTGAATGACTTTGGCACCATTTCCCCCCCACGGTTACTGTGACCTAGGTTGAGTCCTCGTGACGCTGCTGCTGTTCGGTAAAGTCGCTTTCTCCACCCTGCTTTTGGTGCGGTCTGCCTTTCACTTCCAACCCATCTGGCTCTGTTAGGCACTGTAGCCTGACAGGTCCCAAGGCGAAGCCCAGACAAGCTAATGCAAGACAACTGATACTCAAACCTAAAAAGCCAAACATGCATGCTCTGATGACTGGTGGCGTTGCGCATGCAAACACAGGCAAAGCAAAAGATGTAACACTGGAAATCCAACCGCTGGCTGCGTCAATCACTGGATTCACGTACGCTGCGGTGAGGCACCACAGCAGCGTTTGAATTGTCATTGCCACCCACAATGTGGAGCACCATGGTGAGGCCCGCAAGCGTCGCGAGCTTTGCTCTGGAGAGGGAGAGGGACGGGGAGAGAGGGAGAAGGAGAGGGAGGGGGAGAGGGAGGGGGGGGAGAGCGAGAGAGAGAGAGAAAAGGGAGAGGCAGATATGGAGGCAGGCAGGCAGGCAGGCAGACAGACAGACAGGCAAGTAAACAGCTGGGCAGGTATAGAGACAGAAAGACAAACAGGAATATATAGACTAACTGAGAGTCAGAAACAGAGGCAAAGAAACAACTAGAAAACAGCAAAGAAAGGGTCTGACTGATGCACACACACGCACACACACACACTTGCGGTACCCCTTGATTGGCGATGGTGGCTCTGAAGAATATGTTTGGTGTCTTTTCAATAAACGATATCCTAAGCAAAAACATCGATAAAACAGCAAATACATCAAGCAGCAAACCCAAACCACCAACAAAAAGTTGCTTGAAACAAATATGATGTAAAACAAAACACACGGCACACCTAAACATAAACCTACAACCAAACAACACTACAGTACGTCAGTACGCTACATATGTTACTGTAGTTCTTAACGACATGCAGTGTAATGCACCGTGATGTTATGTGAAGTTATATGATGTATGCATAGCAATCAATCAATCGATCAATCAATCGATCAGTCTATCAGTCAATCAATACACAAATCTTAAAGTCAATCAATCGATCAATCAATCAATGAATCAATGAATGAATGAATCAACCAATCAACCAATCAAATCAATCAATCAACCAATCAATCATTCAATCAATCAATCAATCAAATCAATGAGTCAGTCAATCAATCAATGAGTCAGTCAATCAACACATTTATTTGTCTTTCTATCAATTATCTATGAATCAATACCAATGACCAAAATATCAATATATCAATCTATAAATCTATTAATCTATCAACCTATCAATCTACCAATCTGTCAATCTATCTATCTGCCTGTCAACTTTGCCATTCTACCAACTACTTTCAGGTTGTATAAATATAACTAAATATAATATAGTTTTACAATGTTTTACATTTTTTCCACGCTTTTGAGGTTTCGACCATCCCCCAGGGTAAGGTGGTGCCACTACCACCGGCGCTGCAGGAGCCACTGGCGCAGGAGCCACTGGCGCCGGTGCAGCTGCCACCACCGGCCCTGGCACCACCGGCGCAACCGGCGCGGCCGGCGCAGCGGGGTGCGCTGGGGCGGCCGCAGCGGGTGGATAGCCCCACTGGGGCTGGGTCCAGCCGCTCATGGAGGCCAGGGCCTATGGAAAAGCCAAACAAAAGAAGTAGCACCTTATACATTTTGAGACCGAATTTCTGATATATAATAAATATTAATAAATATATGGTAGGGCGTATGGAGGCATGAATGCACTGGAACCCGCTGTATATAATATACAACATTGATTAGCCTGTATGTGAGCTAGAAACCCAAGCAAATCAATGATTTCTAATGAAAGCCAAGCCACTGAGGATTGCAAATGGGTGAAAGGAAACCCGACTAAATAAAAGTTTCTAAATTGGATTCACGTTCCGTTTGTATGGTAACACCCTGGCTGAAACTGCGCTGCTTATATTATCGAATGGAAACTAGAGCTCACTTGCAACTGGTCATCGGTTAAGAGATGTCTATGCTTGGAACGAGAGGGCGCCTGCAAATGGGCAACGTAGTCCATCGTGGCGATCAGCTAGGTGGTCATGCCTTGCCAGCCTCAGTTTGACATGCTGCGATCCAGTGAGGTGCAAAACATGAGTATCACAGCTGTCACAGCTGCTCATTCTTTTGCATCTCAGCAACTCATAATTTGGAGGCGTCTAGATTTTGTACACTAATGCTTGAGCCCAGAAAGCATCCAAACACACCCAAGTGTGCACAGGAGTTGCACTAGATGGACGACTTCCCATGATAGGCTTCTGTGCCTTCACTTTACTTAGAATCCCACTCAAGCTTCCAATAGGGAATCCACTCGTATGGGTGGTTGGATGGTCGTTTGTTCACCTTATCAAAATCATTCGGCGGAGTCTGCATTTCATGACTTCCAAAAGCTGACCACCTCAGCCCCGGCCTTCAACACCCATGGCGTTCCAACTTTCGGCGCTAAGCCCTGCGCAAGAAGTCAATTCAAAGGTTGATTCCAGGGTGCACTCCCGCACTCCCCCATGTTTTCCAGGGGATATCATATGATATCCTGTGAAAGTTTTATCCATCCCTTGAAAACAAAACTGCCCAGCAAGGGCTGTGAAGCACTGTGGTATGGTCCGTATGGTCATCTGGATGGCCTCCAAACACTTCTCCACCTTGTACTCTTCCACCTGACATCGTGATGTGTCTCCACTGGAAGGTCTGGGGCCGCGGTGCAATGCCCATGCAACAAGTGATGTCTGCACCTGCTCAAGCAAAGATGCGGTCAGCACAGCCTGGTTCGAAGCCTCAAATTACATGATCCATCCACCATGGTGATGGGCACGTGAGAAATCAGATCGATGTCTATATGAAAGTGTGCCCTCATGTATAGTAATTGTGCCGTGACATGTCGTGACCACCAGTTGCATAATATCATTTTGCCATGTGGTAATCCTTTCATGCTTGATTCACACACATGTATGTGATATTTTGCATGTATGTTCAAATGTATATAATATATTATTGTATATACATGTATGTATTGTATGGCATGTTTGATTCGCAGTCTTGCTTGTATTGAACAATGTCTTGAACATGTAGGCGCACGTGTAAACATATCTCAAAAATATTGACGACAACAAATACACACACACGCACACCTATTTACATTGATATATGCATATCTATCTATCTGTCTGTCTATCTATCATTCATTCATTCATTCATTTCATTTCATTTCATTCATTCATCCATCTGTGTCTCTATCTATCTATGTCTATCTATGTCTATCTATATCTATCTATTTCTATCTCTATCTATCTCTATCTATCTCTATCTATCTCTTTATCTATCTATCTATCTATCTATCTATCTATCTATCTATCTATCTATCTATCTATCTCTTTATCTCTTTATCTATCTATCTATCTATCTATCTATCTATCTCTTTCTATCTCTTTCTATCTCTTTCTATCTCTTTCTATCTCTCTATCTATCTATCTATCTAGCTATCTATCTATCTAACCAACTAACTAATCTATCTATCTAACTAAACTAAACTAAACTAAACTAAACTAAACTAAACTAAACCAACTAACGAACTAACTAACTAATCTATCTATAAAACTAACTAACTAATCTATCTAACCACCGAACTAATCTATCTCTCTATCTAACTAATCTATCTATCTACCTATCTACCTCTCTCTATCTGTCTGTCTGTCTGTCTATCTATTTATTTATCTTATTCATTTATATATAAGTTTATTTAAACATATCTCATAGTTTTTTATCTCTTCGTGCAGCGAGCATTTGGCCCGCGGCCTGTTCCACGCTCTCGCTGCAAGTGAACCTCAGAACGGCTCAGCTCCATCACTTGCTGGGACGGACGACAGTCCCTGGCCGTGTTGCCAAAGAAATTGGGATCCCAATTCTATGCTTTCAGCTGCTACCAAGAATATCATAGAATATCCAAGTACTCAACAGTCCAACATTCCAGTCTAGTATATTCTTAACAGGATGGTTTCGAAGTTCTCAAGGACTTATTCTTTTCCGCACGTGTTGGACAAAGCCAAATGGAATGAAGAAAGCCTGAATCGAATCAAGCAACTCCCCTGGCCAAGCATAGGTGACGCCACCTGACCAACTGACAGCTGCACCTCCAATCCTTTCTGCCATAATTTGAGGCTGCTACAGGACCCCGCATGACCCGCATTGCAGCCACTTTCAATAATTCATATCCGCCATATCCATTTCTCAGCTTGGGTTTGCCCCATTGATCTCCAATGTGAAAAGCAGCCGAGCACCGAGCCTTGCAACCACTCACTGATGTGTTGCAGCCATCCAGCATCCACCGTCCGAACCTTGTGCCCGTGGCCGACCATTTTTGGGGGAGGACCGGAGGATCCACTGAGTTGGTGGCCAAAACATCTGAACGATGCAGGCCCTGACGCGCGGCGTTCAGGTTTCTTGTGGCCACCAGGACCAGGGATGGAAAGGGGGCACCGGATAGCTGACCTTGACTGCCTTGACCTATGACATATCATCGAGTGTCAGGCCCACGACTCATTTGGCAGAAGGGAGATAAAAAAAAATAAACATCATAACAAGTGGAATGGTAATAGATGGTAATAGCACATGTGGATACATGTGGCGCGTCACCGCACAATTGTGGGCCTGTATGGGCCCACCAACTGTTTTGAACCAATTTTGATACCGTCCAATGGCATGTCGTGTCCATTTAGCGTAATTGGTTGTTGTGCAGCTCGGAGTCACACCAAACCTGGTGGAACAGCTGGTTCTGCCCGCACACCACTGGCCGCTTACCTTGGCGTAGAGTGGCTATGATCCAAACTGAGCACAGCTCCAGGTGGCAGCTGAAGAACTCAAATAATGCTACAGAACATGACAAAGTTCCCAAGCCACTCAGCAGCAAAGAAGCTACAGGACTTTTCAGAACACAGGCAGGCAATTCGACTGCTTTGCGTCAAGGTCGTGTGAGATCAAAGGCTACACAGACAGTGCAGTTGTGCCGTCGGCGAAAGTAATTGTGTGCAACTGGGAAAAGCCTCTCACTTTGAGAGAATGGCCAACGCCTTTTCTCCCATGAGGTCGCCCATCTTCTTTGCCTCTGCCTTGTCTTCCTCTGAGATGTCATCCCAGCAGGCGTTGGGGGTGTCGTCCTTGCAGTAGGCAGCCAAGCAACGGGAGATCCCCACGCAGGAGCAATTGAACTCGCCCACAATCCACTTCTCATCCTCAGCCTTGGTTCCGGGAGGCGAGGCGTTGATGAAGTCAGTGGTCCACCAAAGTGGCAACGGCTCATCTGCCAAGTCCAGGGAAGGCATCACATGGGGCAAGTCTTTCTTCAAGAAGTTCTCGGTCAAACTTGCGAAAAGTGGCTCCTCCGGTCCGTAGAAGGTGTAGATGGAACCAGTTCCACCAACGGCAGAGATTCCTCCCTCCTTGGGCTTCTTGTGAATGACTCCAATCAAAGAATCACCGATGAGATTGTAGCGCAGTTCGCCTTCCACAATACGTGGGCAAAAGCGCTGATCCACAAGCTGGCCACCTGCCTCCTTGCCACCCTCCAAGTACTTGCCGACACCTTTGGAGGTCCACTCACCTGACTTGTCCGTACGGCCATGAACACAGAATTCAACAAACTCGGCCACCGTGTGCTCTTCCTCATGGTTGTCATTGGCCTCCATGAGGACCAGCTTCTCACCATCCTCACAGGACCTCTCGCCGTACTCCTTGCAGTAGTTCTCATCTTTCAATTTGATGATCCAAATGCCCTCGCCAGATGAGCCACGATTCTGCTTGATGACACGTGGCTGGAACGCCATGGTCTTCTTGAAGCCAGCGGAGAACTCCTCAGGGCTGTAGTAGGCCAGAGTGTCTGGGAGACCAATGTTCATGGTAGCCACCTTGCACAAGGCATCCTTGGCTCCCATCTTCTCCATGACATCAGGGGATGGCCAAACCTGCTTGCCCATCTTCCTCAAAGCACGCATGCCATCATCAAACTTCTGTTGGTCACCGCCGTCTGCCTTGATCTGGCCTGGATTGCATCGCACGATGACAAAGTCGAAGCTTTTGCAAAGCTCGAAAAACTTGTCGTGCTCCTCGTGTGTGTAGTGAATCAGCTGGCAACTCATTCCAGCGCTGATCATGCCATTCACGATCGGGATGGAATCGTAGCGGTGGCCATTGTTGCTCTTATCGGAACCTCCATAGGGTTGGCTTCGGACATAGATCTGGGCCAACGCACCCTTAAACTTTGGCGCGCTTGGTTGATCCAGCATGCCCTTGTAGTCCTTGGCAACCACGGTGATGCTACTGCAATCCACAGGGCCTGGGCATGGCGAATTTTTGTCCACTGCGGCCCAAATCTTGGAGAGCTGATCTGGCGGCAATTCCTTGAGAGCTGCCGCGATTTCCTCTGGGGACTTGCCCTCAATCAAGCTCTTGTGCTCAGTAGATGCACCACCACCCATGGTTGTAGAAGGCAATTGAGGAGCTTTGCTCGTCAACAGGAGACTCTTCACTTCAAAGCGCTTTGAGCCGAGCAAATGGGATACAAACATGCATATATACTGTAAGCATCAACATCCATGAAAAGTTCAATCCTGCGGTGCTAAACTCAGTCAACTACCATCAATCGGTTGAAATGGCCACTGCTCAAGCAAAACAACGGGCAACTGAGTAAAGTACTTCCATCAGCCCGTTCCACTGAAGAAGGGGCAACGGCCCCACATGGAAACAGCGAGACGATGTACTTTATGACCTGTGCGTTTTGGCGAGTCCCCCGACTGCACGTGTTTGTACATCTGTATTTATATAATGGTATGTACGTATGTGTATATATATATATACACATGTACATATATGTACATCATACAGTACACAATGGTGTATATATATAATAATTATATATAATTATATATATATATACACATGTTTCTATACGTCTTAGTCAGTTAAGCCTCCCAAACCCCAGAAAATGGATCAACATGGAGCAGGATCAGTGGGGGTTTCCCCTCTTGCTTGGGGTACCAGTATCTAAGCCATGTTTTGGACCCACACACACAGTCACATATGGACATGCTCGTGAACCACGTGGAGGTGGGTAAAAGCTCTGGTACTGCAGTAGCTCTATCTTTCTGCCCACAAAAAGAACTGAACAAACTGGATGTTCAAACCCCCATGCCGACGGTCCCATAGGTATTGACCCATCCCTCTATCCCCATGTACAGTAACATATATCCCACTATTCCTAGTGGTAACCTTCCCACTCTTGGTTACCTGGTTGGTTCAAACCGTTCAAACCGGTGTTTCACCCAAACTTTTGCTGGTGAAATCCCGAATCTTTGTAGAACCACCGAAAAAATAGGCAAATAATAAGATCGATGGATGGATCGATGGATGGATACATACATACATCTATTTATTTCTATTTTTCTTTAAAATAAATAAACAAATAAACAAATAAACAAATAAATAAACAAATAAATAATTAAATATATATATCCAGAATATTATATAATACTTGTATTATCCGATGCATTATCTCTCACACACACACATATATATATATATGCACACACACACATATATATACACATTATAGATACCTGAATCAGTTCTATTAGCTTCTGGCAATCAAACGTCGCTACCTGCAAAAAAAATCCCATGTACTTCAATGATTTTCCCAGCTAGAAACCTCCACGTTTGATTTCCGTACCTGAACAGCTTCTTCCTCAGCCAGGTCGTGCCGGACCACGAAACGTGCAGTGATGCCAATGGCCACAGCCAACCTGCAAAACGCGGGACTCAAAAGGTTCAACATAATATCAGTAGCACATAGTAGCACAGTATTCTTGTGATGTTTTTAAGAGCTTCGGGATTTTTCACCTTTTTTTTTTTTGTTTTTCCGAAATTGACCTTGGTCAGATCGAGGTACTCTTGCGGTGAACGAAAACATGTGCATCGAATCAAAGGGAATCACCTCCGCTGAAAGTCTTCAGGGTCAAAGGTTTCTTGGCGCCTGGGCCGGTTGGACCCGTGCCACTTGAGGTCACCTGGGGTTTATGCAGTCATTATGAAGTTTGGCACTGGGTTTGCAAAACAAACACACACACACACATTTCCTTGTTGTGAGGGTCATTTTGAATAAGCTGGCCCAACAGCCACGAATGGGATCGAATGGGTTCATTCAATCGATTGATCCCCGTGCGGTGTACCTTGGGTACTGGCAAACTGGTGTTCATCCCCCATAAAAGGCTAAACACCTTCAAACGAATTTGGCTGTGAGGTCCACACACAAAAAAAGTAAAATCAAACCTTTGACGTTTTTGGCACCCAAAAATTGCAAAAAAAATGCAAACTCAAAACCCTACACGCCAACATTTCGGTGTGTAAACACTTCACAATTTCTGTTTCATGAACCTCAGGCCCAATGTTTTCAGCATTTCGACCATCCTTTTCTCCTATCCCTCACACCTAGGATTACATCTCTTTCCACCGTTCTTTTTTGTTAAAATCGTAAATTAAAAGCATTAACAAAGCTTGAACACTGGCGCATGAGACTTCACCAAGGTTGCAGGATTCTTTGTGAAAAATGACATGATTCCACGCCTTCTGAAATAACCCCGCTGCCAACTCGCAAAATTTAACGATGTTACAACCATCAAACTTAATTATAAAGTGGTTTCGGCCCACCCAAACAAAATGATCGTCAATGGGATCATCATCTCATGCGTTGGATGACAAGATGAAACACGATCGAAACAACAAAAAAAAACATGTGCAAATTACCTCTGTTTTTTTTTGTTTCTTGGGAGTAAAGCCTTGGTTTGTGGCAAACATATGGTGTAGACTCATCCATGGGCCCCCTACGGTCCCCGACTACCAACCCGACCCGCCCTGGAGCCGCAGAGCCGCCAGGCTTCATGGGGTGCATCAGTTGCAGCAACACGGACTTCAGCTCGTTGATGCCACCAGCCACCGCCCCCGCGTGGATATAGATGGCAGACATGGCTACCGTCTCCTGGATACTGGTATCATTGTTATCACTATATATAATTGTATATATATATAATATCATTGTTATACTATGTATATCATTGTTATCATATAATATACTGGCAACCAAACAAGTGGCGCGCTTTGGGAATGTGGTGTTTTGAAACCACCAGTGAACACTGACAAAACCAAACCAATCCGATTGATGCCCCTGAAGCAAGTTTGTGCCGGGTAGCCAGCCGTTGTTTTATGTCAGGAAAAAAACCACCGACAATCCAAACCAGATGAAGCAACGCATCAAACACTGTCATGCGACGGGAAAACTTTTCTATGACAAACACACGGCGCTATTGTCGCAGCTACCAATGGTATTTCCGTCAGAAAACGACCGTCTGTCGATGTGTTCCACAAAATATAGTATGCGTTTGGTGGGCACGTTCGCAGCAAACCAAACGATGGCTCGGTTTCCTTTCAATCTGGACGTTTCCGCTTCCGTCGACACAGGGGAAACGACTTGCATCTCCGATGCGCACACCACGCATCCCATCATGTCGGCATGACACTCGTCACAGCACACCTGAGGAATTCCGCTGCCTCAAGCCAAGGCCCTGCTGCTACTGTGCCATATAGTGAATGGGCATTGACCATAGCAGCTGAATTCCCCCTGAATTTGAAGTTGAAAGTTGAAAGAGTGATAGTAGGAGGTTGAAGTGCGCCTACCGTTTTCCACCATCTGCGCTCGGCCCGGAAAGCATCACCCCCACCCCAATGCCCCACTCCCCCACCCACCACCGCTTCCCCCATTCCCTCCCCATCCCCTATCAAGGAGCTGGAGCCGCAAAATAGATCTGGTCGTCTTCTGAAGCAAATCAGCTCATTATAGTATTATGTTTAGAATATGCGCCGAAAACATCCAAAGCCGGATTTCTTGTCTTTGAAGCTGCTTTTGCCTATAACATGGCAAAACCGAATGTCCGTAATTACAAAGAAAGGGCATTTAGATTTCAGATCAGGTCTGGCGCATTGCTATTCAATGCTGAATTGCCCGATTATCACGAACCAATTACTCTCAAATTTACCATCCTGAAGAATAGCCGGCCAAACAAGCAGGAAACCTGTTATGTCCTCCCAATTATGCAGGGTTTTGGGCTGTGCAATTTCATTTCGCACTAAAGGTATTAAAGATCATTAAAGAGAAAACCGTTGAACCATCTTGGCTTCCTAGTTTTGATATTTTTGATTGGTGGTTTCCCGGATCATTGCAAATACATGTACTGTATATATATATATATATCCGAAACTTAGCATTGGTTGAATGGATGCCAAAATGCTTGCCAAGGCTGCCATTTTGCTTGCTAGTTTGGTGAAGTTCCCCAAAAACCAAATCTCCGCCAACGGTCATTTTATCTGACATACAGTCTGACATCCTATCTGACATTCTTTCTGGCATATATTCTGACCTTCTATCTGGCAGTATTGCTGACATTCTATCCTTCTATATTCTGACATTCTATTTGGCATTCGATTCTATCTGGCATGTATTCTCAGATCATCACCCTGTTGAGGGGGAGGGGGGGTCTAAATGAAATATTTCATTTGTGGATACCCCCCCACCTATACATATACAATCAAAATCACCTCCCCCAAAGACAAGAGGCTAAAATTTATGGACATCGTGTTATGTATGCGTATATCATCCGAATATACATATATAAATATGATATTTTATGATAATATATGATAATATATGATAGTATATGATAATATATGATAATATATGATAATATATGTATACCCAGATCCCCCGCAGACCAGAAATTTGGTCTGGAGTGATTCAGTCTACTAATCAGACTGATTCCAGAAATCTCGCCTGAGGTGAATTTTTTCGGCTGAAGTGGCTTTGCTCAATTTTCACCAAAACATTCAACAACGTATATTAGTGATAAGAAATAAGACATGAGAACTTCAGGTTTTTGTCCAGAGGGGGGGCACCCCTTGAAATTTCATTTATTGTGTTTCATTTTTTTCCATTGATAAGAGATTTCAATCAGATTTAGCGGGCCGCCCAAAGCCATTTTCGATCATGAGCCGGCCGCGTCAGTGCTGTAGCTGAAGCCTCCCCCTGCCCTGTTGCAGCTCCACCTCGCACCGCCACGGCCTTCCTGAGGCGAGATCATCCCCTGCACATGCGCAGGATTGGATGCCATTGGATGAAGTGGATGAAAAGATGGATGGAAACATGAATAAAACTCCTTATCACCATCTTGCTGATACACAAAATGAAATGCATCACCCAAGAGCAGTGGCAACATAGGGGGTATTTAAGTTGCATGACACATCTGCGAAATGTCTGGATTTGATATGATATTTATTTTATTTATAAAGGCTTTATCTGGATTGTTAAGGGGATTTGATATGGGATTCTAGGGATTTAGTGAGTCATTAAATCTCTATTGTCAAACCCAGCCCATTTCCATATGGAGGTTTCCTAAAATACAGTACCCCCAAATCATCCCATTTATAGATGGATTTCCCATGACATAAACCATCCAGCTATGGGGGTACCCATGACTTAGGAAACCTCCCATATATGTTTTGGTTTTGATCCATCCAGAAGGGGTTAACCAATGACGGATTTTGCATCACCTTTGGCATTCACTGGTGTCCACTTGAGCTCACTTTTTCATGGCTAGTTGGCCCCTTGGTAGCCTCTGGGATTGAATGACTCATCTATGGCTCTGCCAGCTGTCGTGGTGCTTCAGTTCATCCATGTCCGTTGTTTCATCAAAAAACACACACAAATTCCCTGGGTCTTGCCGAAAGCTCCACTCCAAAATTATCCAAACATCTCCATCAGTTGGAAGCCTTTTGGCAAATTTCGTTGGAACAACTGGGGCTGTCTGAAAATTGAAGGGAACGTCCCCAACTTTGATGGGTTGAGCATCAGTTTCCCTATGGGTTGAGTGGCCAAACATTGGGGCATTTTCCCCAAGTCATTTCATCCCTGGCGCGTCAGGCAGTAGTGCCGAAGCCGTTGAATTAGCCCCTGTGGAAGAGAATTGACATCTCCGATGTGGGCCCTCCAGAGGAGGCTGATGGTTGGGATATGTTGGGATTTTCTCATGTCATGGGGTTATAAAAACATACTGAAGGAATCGGAAATATATTGAAAGACAAAGTATGCATAGACCGTCTCAAAGCTGTTGTTCCTTTTTGTGTCGTATCATGTACACATCAATTCAGCTTTTGCCAGCGGAATGCCGCAGCTCACACTCCGCCAAGTCGCAGGCATCCTCGAGTTCAAAGAGACTGGAGTACAAATATGTCATTCGGCGCCCTCCTGGTGTCAAGCCTCCCACCCGCACTGGTTGGACTGTGTCAGGGACAAGCGCAGAAATTAGGGCGAATCTTTGGGCATCCAATTTGGAGCCCCTTTTTGAAGTTTCTCAGGGCCATTTGGGGCAGGTGAAATCCAAAACACGCATGGTTTGTGCTGCTTTCCAGGTTTCAAGCTGTGTGCATTTCCGCGGTAGATTCTTATCACGGCCAAGCCGCAGGAGGAGGGGCCTGAGATTCTGGAGCATAGCCAGGCCGCAGCAGCACCAGAAGGGCAGCCCCGCGGCTGGTGCATTGCAGTGGTTGGAAACCTCTGTGAGTTTTGTGAAAGTCTGGGTAAACCACGGGAAAACTAGAACATCCCATGGTTATTCCATGGTTTGGAAAGCAACTTCCTCACTAAAATGGCGAATGGAGAGTAAATCCACGAGTGTTTTTTTACAAAGAAACACCATGCAGAAACCATAATTCAGTAGTCTTTGTATAGGGGATTGGAAATGTATTAGGAACAGTGACTACTAGACTGAATCTCGAGATAACTTCAAGTTCAATTTTTATATTCTTTGATATTCTTTTATAATTTTGATTTCGGTTCCGGATTCGGGCGCCACATTCGGGCCCCGGATTCGAGCCCCTGATTCGGGCCCCGGATCCGGGTTTCGGATTCGGGCCCCGCATTCGGGTCCCGGATTCGGGTTCCGGTCCCGGGTTCGGGTCCCGGATTCAAGCCCCGGTGTGTGAGGAAGGTGGTTCATTTACTGAATGAATCAGTAGGGAAGTTTGGTAGGCAGATGTAGGCAGGTAGGTAGGACCTAGGGGCGCAAGGAATGGCAGGAGATGGTATCAATGCATCAATTGGTATTGCAATGTATTGCAAACATGTAGCCGTGGGAAAATGAAGATGTCTTTCATTAACGTTTGATCCTTTCCTTTCTCTTCGATGGGGGTCCGCAGCATGATATTATATTTGCGGCAAACTCGAGTAGGTGATTCTATCATCGGTTCTTAACCTATTTTCCCTGCCACAGTCAAATTGAATATGCCGTGGCCATGGGGATTTAGTAAATTTAGTAAATGCAATGCTTACGTTCACTACGTAATTGAACACATAGGAACAGATGCAAACAAACAATATTTCCCGAGTCTTTGTTAAATATGTTAACGCGGGATTTATTGTGTGGCCACAGGGATTTAGTAGGTGCCAAGCTCAGAAGCGTTATTTTGTCAGCAGTTGAAAGCATAGGAACGCATGGAAGGAAACACTGTTTTCCAAGCGCACAGCATCACCGGAACCTTACTTTACGCCGCACCAGAGGCAGAAGAGTGTGCTGTACCACTGTACCAGACATTGGCCAATCATTTTGAGGTCGAATCTATCCTAATCAATAGCTTCGTTTTCACGCTTGCAGGTATAGATAGATAGATAGATAGACAACTACAACTACAACTACAACTGCTACACTACACTACAACTACAACTACCACTACAACTACATCACACTACACTACGCTAACTGCAGTACACCACATTACAGCTACAACATAGTGACCCCCTCGGCCACTGAAATTTTAGGGGAGGGTATGTGAAAGAATTTCTGAAATATATTTCGCTTGCACGTCTGGAGCAGTTTGGCTCACAAATGCATGTATGGCATCGCAGGTATGATGAAATCCGTGCTGTGAAACAGATTTGGGCATATCGGCATATCATTCCCATATTGGGGCACCAACAAAAGTCATTTTCAACAGAGCAAATGATTGAAAATCATCATATAATATAAAACATATAATATAAACCATCCATTTGGGGGGTCCGAATTTTGAGACATAGACATCCGGCTTATGACTCTCTGATGCCGAATCCACTGCTGTCGAGTGCGACAAGAGATTTCAAGCCCAGCTCCATGAGTCTTGGCGAAGGTGCCACGCGTCCTGTAGCTCCACGTTCTACCATCCAGAACTTGGGGGTTGATAATACCTTATTCAGGGCCATTTAACACCAGGTTTAACTTCATCCGAGTTCGTGTTTGTTCATTTATGTTCATCATTGTTCATCGATGGCCGCTTCCTTTTCCAACTGCACGGCTTGGAGGGTTGTGGGAACAGGCAACCAGATTTGGCACGATTTGGCAATTTTTGTAATTTTTCGCGTTTAAAACTTGTGAATTTGTTGAGCCGTCTTGGGGACCGTTTTCTGCGGATTGCATGGTATGATATGGTATGCACATGTATGATATTGTATGATACAAACCTCCTCTCCTGCACCTCTCCTGCACCTCTCCTGCACCTCTCCTGACCTCTCCTGCACCCCTCCTGCACCTCTCCTGACCCCTGCTGCGCCTCTCTTCCCTGCACCTCACCAGCAGAAGTTAGAAGGCTTTCCGGAAGACACTTCAAACCATTTCAAAACAAATGCGAAGCTATGCAAAGCTTTTTTGTGCTTTTATATAGAGCTATCAGATGTGATTACGTGTTGGGCTTGCATGGCACCTCTCCTGACCTCTCCTGCACCTCTCCTGCACCTCTCCTGACCTCTCCTGCACCCCTCCTGCACCTCTCCTGACCCCTGCTGCGCCTCTCTTCCCTGCACCTCTCCAGCAGAAGTTAGAAGGCTTTCCGAAAGACACTTCAAACCATTTCAAAACAAATGCGAAGCTATGCAAAGCTTTTTTGTGCTTTTATATAGAGCTATCAGATGTGATTACGTGTTGGGCTTTGCATGGCACCTCTCCTGACCTCATGCACCCCTCCTGCACCTCTCCTGACCCCTGCTGCACCTTTCTTTGCTGCACCTCTCCAGCAGAAGTTAGAAGGCGCAGCTTTTGACACCAAATCATTCTGTGGGATGGAATACTACGGAATAGTGAGTTCATCATAGTTCATCCATTTGGCGTATATGCAGGAAGTTTGCAACTTTCATAGGGCGTCAATCATTTCACCAGCCGGGACTAAAAGAGATTTGATATGATTTGATATTATATTGTTTATAAGTGTATTTAATTGTTGTTAGACTGTCCAGCGACATTATGTCACTCAAGCTTTCTGAAGTTCGTGCATCATGAAACGGTGATGAGATTGATAGCTTTTAAATGCTTTATCGCCATAGAAGCCAGAACTTTTGCAATTTGCATTTAATTCAGAAGATTGAGTTGATTTGGAAACATCAGATGATGTTGAGGCTGAGAAAGAGGTGGTCCTAGCTTCCTTTGCTTGTGGGGAGATGGACGTTGACATCGAGTCCGGGAGACCGTCTCGGAGCTGGGCAACTATCAAGCGAGTCTTATGGGCGCGGGAAGAGCATCGGGCTGCAGACAAGAAGAAGAAGAAGAAGCACCTGGAGGAGTTAGAAGAACTCAAGGCCCAATGTGAGGCCTCTGCCCGTGGAGGCTTGTCATGTCGTGCAAATTTACACTGCTTTTCATTTTTCATTTTTGCCACATCCATCCGCTTACGAAGCCAACCCAAAATCGTGGCAGGACAATGCTTTTTATACATATATAATTTTAACTTGTTTTCCACACTTGTCTCATCGCAGATTTCAACATCCCTATTTTAACATCAGCTTGTCCAAGTGCACCTTGTGCTCTGTGAAATTGAAGGTAGTGGCCGTATAATCAGCTTGTCAAATTGCACATGGTGCTCTATAAAAAGCATGAAAAAGCATTAAAAAGCAAGCTACATGGCCTGCACAAACAGATCTTTTTGAATCCCAGAAACGTGATATTCTGGAGATCAGCCTATGGGGTTTGATTTTATAGAGACAATTGTTTTCAAATTCTCAGATTCTCAGGCTGTGATTCTATAGAGGTGAATCTTGATGGGAGGCTTTGGGGTTTGATTCCAAAAGGCAGGTTTCGGCTGAGCGCTGCCTACCACCGGTGGTGGTAGGCGGGGCTCGGGCCTGGGCAGCGGTGCGGCCAGCCCAAATCGATGGATTTTGGTGGATTTGGAGCAGGACGCATTGCCGTCGGAGCCCGAGCGCTGCCTACCACCACTGGTGGTAGGCGGGGCTCGGGTGTTGAGAGGGGAGGAGGGGGAAGGGCCCAATCCTCCACCTTTCTTAGTCATCCCTTTGCCTTTGCTGCCCTTTCGCGCATCGGCGCTTGAGCCCCGCCTACCACCAGTGGTGGTAGGCAGCGCTCGGGCTCCGACGGCAATGCGTCCTGCTCCAAATCCACCAAAATCCATCGATTTGGGCTGGCCGCACCGCTGCCCAGGCCCGAGCCCCGCCTACCACCACCGGTGGTAGGCAGCGCTCAGCCGAAACCTGCCTTTTGGAATCAAACCCCAAAGCCTCCCATCAAGATTCACCTCTATAGAATCACAGCCTGAGAATCTGAGAATTTGAAAACAATTGTCTCTATAAAATCAAACCCCATAGGCTGATCTCCAGAATATCACGTTTCTGGGATTCAAAAAGATCTGTTTGTGCAGGCCATGTAGCTTGCTTTTTAATGCTTTTTTCATGCTTTTTATAGAGCACCATGTGCAATTTGACAAGCTGATTATACGGCCACTACCTTCAATTTCACAGAGCACAAGGTGCACTTGGACAAGCTGATGTTAAAATAGGGATGTTGAAATCTGCGATGAGACAAGTGTGGAAAACAAGTTAAAATTATATACGTATAAAAAGCATTGTCCTGCCACGATTTTGGGTTGGCTTCGTAAGCGGATGGATGTGGCAAAAATGAAAAATGAAAAGCAGTGTAAATTTGCACGACATGACAAGCCTCCATGGGCAGAAGCCTCACATTGGGCCTTGAGTTCTTCTAACTCCTCCAGGTGCTTCTTTTTCTTCTTGTCTGCAGCCCGATGCTCTTCCCGCGCCCATAAGACTCGCTTGATAGTTGCCCAGCTCCGAGACGGTCTCCCGGACTCGATGTCAACGTCCATCTCCCCACAAGCAAAGGAAGCTAGGACCACCTCTTTCTCAGCCTCAACATCATCTGATGTTTCCAAATCAACTCAATCTTCTGAATTAAATGCAAATTGCAAAAGTTCTGGCTTCTATGGCGATAAAGCATTTAAAAGCTATCAATCTCATCACCGTTTCATGATGCACGAACTTCAGAAAGCTTGAGTGACATAATGTCGCTGGACAGTCTAACAACAATTAAATACACTTATAAACAATATAATATCAAATCATATCAAATCTCTTTTAGTCCCGGCTGGTGAAATGATTGACGCCCTATGAAAGTTGCAAACTTCCTGCATATACGCCATATGGATGGACTATGATGAACTCACTATTCCGTAGTATTCCATCCCACAGAATGATTTGGTGTCAAAAGCTGCGCCTTCTAACTTCTGCTGGAGAGGTGCAGCAAAGAAAGGTGCAGCAGGGGTCAGGAGAGGTGCAGGAGGGGTGCATGAGGTCAGGAGAGGTGCAGGAGAGGTCAGGAGAGGTGCCATGCAAGCCCAACACGTAATCACATCTGATAGCTCTATATAAAAGCACAAAAAAGCTTTGCATAGCTTCGCATTTGTTTTGAAATGGTTTGAAGTGTCTTTCGGAAAGCCTTCTAACTTCTGCTGGAGAGGTGCAGGGAAGAGAGGCGCAGCAGGGGTCAGGAGAGGTGCAGGAGGGGTGCTGGAGAGGTCAGGAGAGGTGCAGGAGAGGTGCAGGAGAGGTCAGGAGAGGTGCCATGCAAGCCCAACATGTAATCACATCTGATAGCTCTATATAAAAGCACAAAAAAGCTTTGCATAGCTTCGCATTTGTTTTGAAATGGTTTGAAGTGTCTTCCGGAAAGCCTTCTAACTTCTGCTGGTGAGGTGCAGGGAAGAGAGGCGCAGCAGGGGTCAGGAGAGGTGCAGGAGGGGTGCAGGAGAGGTCAGGAGAGGTGCAGGAGAGGTGCAGGAGAGGCAGGAGAGGAGGTTTGTATCATACAATATCATACATGTGCATACCATATCATACCATGCAATCCGCAGAAAACGGTCCCCAAGACGGCTCAACAAATTCACAAGTTTTAAACGCGAAAAATTACAAAAATTGCCAAATCGTGCCAAATCTGGTTGCCTGTTCCCACAACCCTCCAAGCCGTGCAGTTGGAAAAGGAAGCGGCCATCGATGAACAATGATGAACATAAATGAACAAACACGAACTCGGATGAAGTTAAACCTGGTGTTAAATGGCCCTGAATAAGGTATTATCAACCCCCAAGTTCTGGATGGTAGAACGTGGAGCTACAGGACGCGTGGCACCTTCGCCAAGACTCATGGAGCTGGGCTTGAAATCTCTTGTCGCACTCGACAGCAGTGGATTCGGCATCCGAGAGTCATAAGCCGGATGTCTATGTCTCAAAATTCGGACCCCCCAAGTGGATTGTTTATATTATATGTTTTATATTATATGATGATTTTCAATCATTTGCTCTGTTGAAAAAGACTTGTTGGTTCCCCAATATGGGAATGATATGCCGATATGCCCAAATCTGTTTCACAGCACGGATTTCATCATACCTGCGATGCCATACATGCATTTGTGAGCCAAACTGCTCCAGACGTGCAAGCGAAATATATTTCAGAAATTCTTTCACATACCCTCCCCTAAAATTTCAGTGGCCGAGGGGGTCACTATGTTGTAGCTGTAATGTGGTGTACTGCAGTTAGCGTAGTGTAGTGTGATGTAGTTGTAGTGGTAGTTGTAGTTGTAGTGTAGTGGCAGTTGTAGTTGTAGTTGTAGTTGTCTATCTATCTATCTATTTACCTGCAAGCGTGAAAACGAAGCTATTGATTAGGATAGATTCGACCTCAAAATGATTGGCCAATGTCTGGTACAGTGGTACAGCACACTCTTCTGCCTCTGGTGCGGCGTAAAGTAAGGTTCCGGTGATGCTGTGCGCCTGGAAAACAGTGTTTCCTTCCATGCGTTCCTATGCTTTCAACTGCTGACAAAATAACGCTTCTGAGCGTTGCACCTACTAAATCCCTGTGGCCACACAATAAATCCCGCGTTAACATATTTAACAAAGACTCGGGAAATATTGTTTGTTTGCATCTGTTCCTATGTGTTCAATTACGTAGTGAACGTAAGCATTGCACTTACTAAATTTACTAGATCCCCATGGCCACGGCATATTCAATTTGACTGTGGCGGAGGAAAATAGGTTAAGAACCGATGATAGAATCACCTACTCGACTTTGCCGCAAATATAATATCATGCTGCGGACCCCCATCGAAGAGAAAGGAAAGGATCAAACGTTTGTAATGAAAGACATCCTCATTTTCCCACGGCTACATGTTTGCAATACATTGCAATACCAATTGATGCATTGATACCATCTCCTGCCATTCCTTGCGCCCCTAGGTCCTACCTACCTGCCTACATCTGCCTACCAAACTTCCCTACTGAATTCATTCAGTAAATGAACCACCTTCCTCACACACCGGGGCTTGAATCCGGGACCCGAACCCGGGATGGGAACCCGAATCCGGGACCCGAATGCGGGGCCCGAATCCGAAACCCGGATCCGGGGCCCGAATCCGGGGCTCGAATCCGGGGCCCGAATGTGGCGCCCGAATCCGGAACCGAAATCAAAATTATAAAAGAATATCAAAGAATATAAAAATTGAACTTGAAGTTATCTCGAGATTCAGTCTAGTAGTCACTGTTCCTAATACATTTCCAATCCCCTATACAAAGACTACTGAATTATGGTTTCTGCATGGTGTTTCTTTGTAAAAAAAAACGCTCGTGGATTTACTCTCCATTCGCCATTTTAGTGAGGAAGTTGCTTTCCAAACCGTGGAATAACCATGGGATGTTCTGGTTTTCCCGTGGTTTCCCCAGATTTTCACAAAACTCACAGAGGTTTCCAACCACTGCAATGCACCAGCCGCGGGGCTGCCCTTCTGGTGCTGCTGCGGCCTGACTATGCTCCAGAATCTCAGGCCCCTCCTCCTGCGGCTTGGCCGTGATAAGAATCTACCGCGGAAATGCACACAGCTTGAAACCTGGAAAGCAGCACAAACCATGCGTGTTTTGGATTTCACCTGCCCCAAATGGCCCTGAGAAACTTCAAAAAGGGGCTCCAAACTGGATGCCCAAAGATTCGCCCAAATTTCTGCGCTTGTCCCTGACACAGTCCAACCAGTGCGGGTGGGAGGCTTGACAACAGGAGGGCGCCGAATGACATATTTGTACTCCAGTCTCTTTGAACTCGAGGATGCCTGCGACTTGGCGGAGTGTGAGCTGCGGCATTCCGCTGGCAAAAGCTGAATTGATGTGTACATGATACGACACAAAAAGGAACAACAGCTTTGAGACGGTCTATGCATACTTTGTCTTTCAATATATTTCCGATTCCTTCAGTATGTTTTTATAACCCCATAACATGAGAAAATCCCAACATATCCCAACCATCAGCCTCCTCTGGAGGGCCCACATCGGAGATGTCAATTCTCTTCCACAGGGGCTAATTCAACGGCTTCGGCACTACTGCCTGACGCGCCAGGGATGAAATCACTTGGGGAAAATGCCTCAATGTTTGGCCACTCAACCCATAGGGAAACTGATGCTCAACCCATCAAAGTTAGGGACGTTCCCTTCAATTTTCAGACAGCCCCAGTTGTTCCAACGAAATTTGCCAAAAGGCTTCCAACTGATGGAGATGTTTGGATAATTTTGGAGTGGAGCTTTCGGCAAGACCCAGGGAATTTGTGTGTTTTTTGATGAAACAACGGACATGGAGTCACTGAAGCACCACGACAGCTGGCAGAGCCATAGATGAGTCATTCAATCCCAGAGGCTACCAAGGGGCCAACAAGCCATGAAAAAGTGAGCTCAAGTGGACGCCGGTGAACGCCAAAGGTGATGCAAAATCCGTCATTGGTTAACCCCTCCTGAGATGGATCAAGACCAAAACATATATGGGAGGTTTCCTAAGTCATGGGTACCCCCATAGCTGGATGGTTTATGTCATGGGAAATCCATCTATAAATGGGATGATTTGGGGGTACTGTATTTTAGGAAACCTCCATATGGAAATGGGCTGGGTTTGACAATAGAGATTTAATGACTCACTAAATCCCTAGAATCCCATATCAAATCCCCTTAACAATCCATATAAAGCCTTTATAAATATCATAAATATCATATCAAATCCAGACATTTCGCAGATGTGTCATGCAACTTAAATACCCCCTATGTTGCCACTGCTCTTGGGTCATTGATGCATTTCATTTTGTGTATCAGCAAGATGGCGATAAGGAGTTTATCCATTTTTCCATCCTTTCATCCACTTCATCCAATGGCATCCAATCCTGCGCATGTGCAGGGGATGATCTCGCCTCAGGAAGGCCGTGGCGGTGCGAGGTGGAGCTGCAACAGGGCAGGGGGAGGCTTCAGCTACAGCACTGACGCGGCCGGCTCATGATCCAAAATGGCTTTGGGCAGCCCGCTAAATCTGATTGAAATCTCTGATCAATGGAAAAAAATGAAACACAATAAATGAAATTTCAAGGGATACCCCCCCTCTGAAATTTCATTTATAAAAGGGTGGTGATATTCTCAGATTCTACCTAATCTGGCATTCTATCCGGCATCTGTTCTGACATCCTATCTGGAGCTGACATTCTTTCCGGCATGTCTTCGGGGCCGTGTGTCCAGCCAAATCTGGAGCTCCCTATAGGCTTCGGGTCGAGCACAAACGAACTGCCGTGGAGCGCGCCATGAGCTTCGATTGCTCCACTTGATCTGGCACTTGCTGTATCGGGGCCGGTTGGTGCCCACAGTGAAGACAAGCTGTCCTCCTCCAGGAAGAAGGACGGAGGAGGAGGAGGGAGGAAGGGAGGAAGGGAGGAAGGGAGGAAGGGAGGAAGGGAGGAAGGAAGGGAGGAAGGGAGGAAGGGAGGAAGGGAGGAAGGCAGGAAGGGGAAGGACAAAAGGAGTTGCACCTTTCCTGGAACGTGGGGGAAAAAGTGGCTTGCAGTTTCGGATTAATGTTTTAAACATTTAGCCATGATCCCCAGGAGATAACTTCCTACGTCTCAAAGACTGAAGCACCTCTAAAATCGATTTTCCAGGATTCACCACATTGCTATCTCTCAAGCAGCATTATCAAACGGGCCCCTTGAAGTGCGTATGCTTTGAATGGCCCCTAGATCTCAAGAAAACACCAAAGCACTCCATGACTCGCAATTCCCCAGCCACAGGGTACCAGGTACCATTGGGTGTTTGTTCAAGTTGCCAAATGGCATGGTATGGGTCCCATAAAATGATTACAAGGTGTTCCTGAGCCTTGGCTCCTCTGAAGTCGATTGCTGCAAAAAAACTTCTTTCAAGGACCGCTCGGTGATATAACGTCATCCAGGTGAATCTACTGTATGGAGTGGTTTACTTCAGGGGGACTTCGTGCAGCAATTTACAGCAACAAACCCAGCTGGAAAGGTCTCCCTTCGCTGCGAAAGATCCCAAGCGATCTACCTTTACCGTCCTTAGAAAATGGGGATTGGCGTGGTCCGAAGCACAACACATACTCAGAAGATTGCAGAAGTACAAACTTACTAGTTGCTATATGCAAATGAGCAAAAGAGATCAAATCAATAAGTTGGCGGTACCTTCCTCATGAAGCCATCTCACTCAAACCTGGTCATTGATGATGCTACAAAGGGTGGACAGCGCGGAAAACCTTGGCCCAGCTATCCCAAACATGCAGCTAGCACTGCAGCAGTGATAACCGGCGTGTTGCTTGATGTAACACATGAATACCCACCAATTCTTAGAAGACTCAGTACTGCTATATTTTTCAAGTGCTGGGTTGGCAGTTGGATTACACAACATTTTTCCCGTGGATTTCTATTTCTTCCAGGTATCACAAGGTTCGCCAGTTGGATTTTCTGTCGCTTGGTCTCGGGCCATTGAAATTGGGAGAGGCTGATCCCAGTATCTGTTCGAGCTGGCAGGCCCTGCAGCTGCGAATTGAACATATCTCTGGGATTCTCTGGGTCTACAAATGCCGAAACACCAGAATTTCCTGTGAATTACCTAAACCCAACAGATTAACAGCTGACTTGAATCAGCCACTGGTCAAGTATGAATGGGGAGTTGCATGCGCAGCATGTTTAGAAGGCGAAAAAATCCACGAGCCTCACACGTCTTCAACCTTGTTGATCCCTTGCTCAACACGTAATTCACCTTTAGTGGCAAAAAAACGGTACACCCACCTGCACAATCCCCAAAAAGGCTAAACATGCTAAACATCATCAAACAACATAAACGATCGAGTTTTCTATGGCTAAAATCCATCCTTACTTCAATGATCCCTGCCTCATCCAGCCTTTCTCGAATCTTGGCTTTCAATTTCATGATGGCATCCTGGCGTCGTAGATCGTGGTGGATCTGGACATGTCGATGGGAAGCTCACTGGGCAGTGCCTTGCAAACTTCTTCGCCGTAAAAGCCACTTCTTTTGCAGAAAGTGTACCTGCAAGCAGTTGGGAGCTTCCAAATGAGCCATGTTCTAAATGTATCTAAATGTATCTAAATGTCTTGTATCCTGGCACCAAATAAGGAAATGCGTACGCAGGTGCTTACGTTTTGCTTACGCGCACACAGGTTTTTCTTCCGAGGATATCTTGTCTTATGCTCCCCAGAGTTTTGCTTACGCCACACCCTTACAGGGGACCCCTGCCTAAACATGAACGCAAGGGTCTAGAACGTGGCTCAAATAGAATCCTCAACAGTAAAACCATCATGAAACCTATCCTGTAGCGTCCTTTGTTCGAGGTGCAGATCAAAGCAGCCTCTTCCCAACAAACATGCCAAAGGCACATGAATCAGCACTTATGTAAACACATGTAAACACCACGTGTCTTGATCACTATTTGAAAGAATGCGCAAAGGCATATTGCCACATTTCCCTTCGAAATCAACACAGCGCAGTTCCCATACGGGGGCACTCGTCAGGAAGGCAAAAGCAGTCGATGCTCCTAGATTGTGAACTTGACCCTCAAAAGCAGGCTGGTTGAAAGGGAATATCTACGAAGGGTTGCAAGCATGACCTTTTCAAGGATCTAATCAACATATATCAACATTACATCCATCAACCAATGGAGTCACACCAAAACACTACAAAAACAGGAAATTGAATCGCTTGACCTCCCATACATGTTATCTTCATGGTACTATTCCCCCAAGCTTCGGTGACAGTAAGGGAACCATCGCTTTCACCGCAGGCCTGAAATATTCAGCCCACTGGGCAGCCGCCTGAGCTCTGCGTTTCATGGTTTGACGTGGGGGTCATGAAGTTACCATGAAACTTGCATGGCCGGTGGGTAGTTGATCCACTTATTCCCCAACATCTCATCACATATGTCATATAGCCAATTAGATGTAAGAATATGTAAAGATATATATGATATTTAAAGACTGTAAACATATGCCAACCAAACCGTATTCAACTGGGATTACAGTAACCATTCCAAGTAGTCTGCCGGCATCCTGCTAGACATTGACACCGCGTTGCGAGAACAAGGTCCCAAGGTCTCTAAGAATGACACCTTGCTGGCGTTTGATGATGTATCCTGAAGTGGATCATCGTAGTTCCTCGGCCGAACGTGGCCCTCTAAGTAGTCTGACCCGGGGAGGGTCTTCGCACGACAACATTGCCGGCAATGCTTTCTGGGTTACGATTGAAATGCCCTAAATCTGCTAGAGTCTATAAACCTACAAATAACTAAACACATGAAAAAACCATGTGAAAAATATAACCTGAACATGTAACTTTTGATGTGAATTGAAAACAAATATAAAAATGCAAATCAGAAACTGTACATTTTCATATGAACTGAATAAAATATAAAATACGTAAATCTAAAAATGTAACTTTTTACTGTCAACAAAAAGCAACCAGAGAAACAGTAAATCGAAAAAAAACGGAAAACATCGAAATTACATTTTACATGTTCGGAAACTGTGATTTCCGAGACGCATTGTTTTTATTTGTTTTTTGCATTTTCAAAAATTGCAATTTGCCAGTCGCATTTTTTTACTTGTATTTGCGGAGTGACGCGAAGATACGCAAAGGTAGCAACCAGAAAAGGGTTCTAATTGGGCTCAAATCAGGTCGCTGCCCAGGCGCAGCCTTTTTGCTAGATTCGAACTGTGCACAGCTGCGATGTGCGAGGAAAGTGAGACATGCCAAGTGCCAAAAACATGCACCAAACTGCCACACTCACATCCCAAAAGGGGAGTGTTGGCATGTCGAATTAGCTGGCGCAGCCAGTTCTGTGCGATGTACTGGCGCTGCCAGGGCTCGTTTTGGCGCTGCCGAATCTTTTCTTACGGCGCTGCCGTTGTTCCTTTCTTAGGCGCTGCCTGTGCTCCTCAAGCTTTCGTTCTGCTTCGGTCTCCTTCAGCGACACGGTGTTCTCCTGACAAAACTGCTCCCACAAGGTGCCACGCATCTTCTTGGTGAGCATGTCAGCGAACTGCCTGTGGGTTGGTACCCAAAAGACTTCGAATGCCTTCTGCTCGAGCATGTCCTTTGCCACGAGCAGGTCCAACATAGTTTGTCTTTCTGAAGGTATCTGACCTGTTGTATGTAGGTGGTCATACAGCGACCTCGCGTCGGTCACCAGACCTCCTCCATGCTTGAGCTTCGCTCTCCAATCCTCTTTGACTTCAGTGTTGCCTGTCCACAAGATATCCAAAAGAATCCTGATGTACAAGTGGCGGTCAACCGTCAAAGACATGCTGTTGCTCTCTGCGGCCATTGAACTTCTCACCACCCTCGTCGACCTGGAAGTCTGATATTCAATGGGTATGGCCAGCTGTGGACCATTCTTCACACCATCGGTGGTCAAGAAATGAATTCCACCCAGTTGCGACCTCCCATCTTCTTCCTTTCCAAGCGACGCATCAAAGAAGCTCAGCACATAGGGCTTTCCTTTCATAGGCGGGTAGTAGAGGTGACTTCTCTCCGCCTCAACCTCCTCCAGAAAACTCCCATGCAATTTCACTGCTTCTTTGAAATCATCATAGGTGGCCTTGTTCACCCTCTGCGCAAGGGCGCTCACCTCATAGAGCTTCTGCGGCATGGCTTGTTGAGCCGGCCAGCGCAACCTCATAGTGAGTTGCCGGTACCGCGTCACATCCTCCGGCACCAAGGGATCAGCACCTCCCTTCTGTTGAGGTTCTGGCACTTTAATACCCTTGACATAGGCACTCATGTCATCATACAAGCCAGGTCGCTTGCCGGTGCGCATATCCACACCTAAGAAGGAAAGTGGCACCTGTTTCCACTCTTTGATTCGAAAGAGTCCATTGAGTTCCTCCTTGAGCTTCAAGTAGCGAGGATCCCTGGGGTGACCCAGTAACAGGCTGTCATCCACATGCAAGCAAAGGATCGCGTAGCTCTCTCCATTTTCTGACGCCACGAAAGTGGCTCGAGCTGCTGGGATCTCCCTCAGTGCTGTCTTGTGAATCAACTCCACAGCACGAAGATACCAAAGGCGTGGTGCCTCGGTCAATCCATATGCCGACTTCAGCACCCTCAGCAACTCATAGGGTAGAATGGCATCCCAACCATCGGTGGGTGGTAGGCCATCCACTGGGGCCTTCACATAGAGCTCCCGCTGCGTCTCCAAACCACTCAAAAACGCAGTGGTCACATCAAAAGACCACACGGTCCAGTTCCGAAATTGGCCCACTGCTTTGGCCAATCGGACGGAGGTCAAGGACGTAGTCGGACTATCCGTCCTGAAGAATCCCAAGTTGGGATCTGTATGTCCAGGAATCACCAATCGGCTCTTGGCCAATATCGGCAACAGCATCTTTTGCTGCTTGTTGGTGCGAACCATCCTCATTGGCGATCGGAACACGTTGTACTTCTGTACCCTGCCCTTTTCCTCAGGTGTAAGCCTCCTCACCACACCATTCTGAATCCACTGGGACCACTCCTTGCGATCTGCTTCTCGAAAGAGCTTCTTCTCCTCCTCATTGAAGAAGCGTGGGTCCAGTTCCTTTCCACTCTGTTTCATCTTGAGCAGCATCACCTGACTCAGCAAAACATCCTTCAGTTCAGCCTGCCATTCTCGTTCGAAGGCTCTCCTCTGTCTTCGGCTCCATTTGACCTCATAGATCTCTCCATCCTTCTCCACGTAGGATTTCACCCGCTCATCTCGATTCGCAGGCTTTTCCTTGTAGTACATGGAGATGCCACGCCATGGAAAACTCGCCTTGCGGCGTGGATTCTGTTCCACCTCCTTGGTGTTCTCTTCCACCACAAAGGCATCTCGTGGGTCCTGACCGATGAGAATGCTCAGCCTTGCCCTGCTTGCCAACTTTGGTGGCCGTGCCAGCTTCTTTCTCGGCTGTCGATGCAGTCGCGCAGAAGTCAGGGGCAGGCCTGTCAGCTCCCTCAAAAGGCCCAACTCATATTGAGTCACCCACTCATTGGCTCTGCCATCCTCTGTGTGCAAAGTCCCAAGCATCACCTGAACCACAAGCGACTCCGTCACTCTTGCTCTTTTTCCAGGTGGTGCTGCTGGCTCTTGATCTTCTTGATGAAGTCTCCTTTTCAGTGATGCGGGCACATCATCCAGCAGCATTCGCCTGTGTGCCTCTGACTGCTGTCGTGCCAGCTCTGCCTGGAACTCCTCCTCAGTAGGTCCCGCGGCCGCTGCCGGCACCTGTCCTTGCTGCTCCTCATCCTCCTCAGAGTCCTCAATCTCAGGGACTGGTACCTCTTCTGCTCTCGGCTCTGCCGGAACATCCTCGATTGCTTGGTGTTCCTCGTGCTCGGACGCAGCCGGCTCATCTTGTTCTTCCTCATGCTCGGACGCGGCCGGCTCTCTATCCTCAAGCGCAAGTTGCCTTCGTTGCCTTCTGCGCTTTGGCACATCTCTGGAATATTCTAGCGCTGGCGCAGCCAGAGTTCTTTCCTCTTCATCCTCTCCCGGCGCAGCCGGTGCTGATGCACTAGCCGCTGCTGCTGGAGGCGCTGATTGATGGCGCTGCCTTCTTCCAAGCCTCACTTGGCGCGTCCTCCGCTGCTGTAGTTGTGCGGCCCTCTGTACTCTGTCTTGCATCAAGTTCCTCACAGCTCTGGTACCCTGCATCATCAGCCTGGCACGCTTTGATTCCTCAGGCTCTGGTGGTGCAGGCTTCCTCTTTCGGGTTGGCCTTCTTGGAGGTGGTGCTCGAGGTCGGAGATCTCGAAAGAGATTGGGGGTATTGCCGTCTCTCAAGGCATCACCCACATTGTCCATATCTTCTCTGACGGCCTCCGTTAGAGCAAGCTCCTCTTTCGTTGAGAGGCGCATGTTCTCCTCGGCGACCAGAAGTAACCTTCCTCGCCATGAAATGAAATAGCGTTTGCTCTTCTCCCTCGTGAGCACTGTTGCAGGTCCCCGCCATGTGCCTCCCTTCCGATACCTCACGGCCTTCTGTGAGCTCGGGACCCAGAAGTAAATCTGAGCTCCAGGGACAAATGGCCCAGACTGGGATACTGCTGGTTTTCTCAGCACTGATCTCCTCATCTTTTCTCTCACGTCATTCCTGATCAATGCTACTCTGGCAGTGGTCCTCATACGATGAGCTCTGGATACCTCGCTCTCCACGCTCAAACCTTCCGCGAAGGAGAGCTTGACTTCCTCATCATTGAGGGTCGGCCATTTGCACTCATATCCAAAGACCCGTTGATTGGGCGTAAAGCCGTCTTTCGTGAGGGTAGCGTTCTTCGCTTGTACGGCTGCTGCTAAACCCTCCTTCATGGCATGGTAGCCCTCCAGGCTATGCTCATGCACAATCGCCTGCATCAGATCTGCCAGCAAACCTCCATGTCGCTCTCCTGCTGCAAGCTGCCACCCTGCGTGAGAAGCTGTGATGTCCGTGGGGATACTCATCTGTTCGAGGTAGAGCAGAAAGGTCTTCTCGAACTCCCCACCTTGATCCATTGTGATCTTTGCTGGAGGCCCATAGATGGATATCCAGTGTCGGAAAAACTTGTGGGCAACATACTGGCTCCGCTTGGTCTTGATCATCACCGCATCGTGCTTGACCGTTCCAAGGTCCAGCATACTCAAGCAGGCAAAGCGTTTCCGACGGGCATCATAGACGTACTTGATGTCGATGTGAAGGTGCAAATTGAACCCGTAGGGTCGCACCGACGGCGCAGCCGCTTGTGGGTGCTTGGGCGCAGCCCTTTGTGCACATACGGGGCACTGCCAGCGCTTGGCATAGCGGATTGCATCATCCGTAGCCCCGCTCATCTTGAGCATTCTCACCAATGTACTTCTGGACGGATGGCCCAGTTGGCGATGGGAAAATTCCACAGCCTTCTGCACTTCTCGTGGAATTGGATGTCTCTGGTCGTCATCCATTTCCTGCTGCAGGTCTTCTTCATCCTTCTTCAGCGTTTCATCCAGGACCTGCTCCTCTTCTCGAACGGCGTCATCGCCATCAATCATGTCACCTTCCGACATGACACCTTCTTCTCCAAGATCCTCGACCAGGACATTTGGCTGGTTCCTCATAAAGTTCTCTGCGCCATCCATGATGGCGTTGCAAAGTGCAATGGGATAACCTCCAGCCCATTCACTGAG